GTAATTGTTATGCATATGTTTAGGGGGAGCTTTTGCTTGTCAATGCAATATATGTCCATCTGCTCTATGTTTGATTATATATATTTGTGGTGTTTGTCATCAATTACCAAAAAGGGGGAGATTGAAGCATCTAGGCCCCTGGTGTTAATTTTGGTAATTAATCACAAGCGCTAATTGTGGACTAACCGTTGTCTTTGAACTATACATTTTAAGTTAGGTCCACATCATATGTGCACATGGATGATTATCGATGGATTAAAATTGACGGCGCAAAGCAAAGGGAAAGAAGACGGTAAAACTAGCGCTTTAATTTAGAATTAATCGAGGTGTAGGGCGATCAAATTTGCTAGTTTATTTTTAGTTTCGCCGTACTATTAAGAGGGGTAATGACCTAGCAAAGAGATGATTTTAATTGCCACATTAGGTCATTGCATTTTCACTTGTGCTCACATTTTCATCACACACACGAAAATCACTTTGCACTTTCACTGGGTTTGGCCTGACCAGGGATGGTCAGACCGTCCACATAGCGGCGGTCTGACCGGCGTGCCCTGGCCGGTCTGACCGGCGCATAAGGCCGGTCTGACCGGCGGCACATGCCCGGTCAGACCGGCCCCCTGGAGGCCGAGATGGTGCTGCTCGGGATGGCCGATACAGAGCCGACGGAGCCGTAGTCAGTCAGACCGAGCCGATGGCGGTCTAACCGAGCCGAGGCCGGTCTGACCGCCCACTCAACGCCGGTCTGACCGGCCAGGCCGATGGGGCCCTCTAACAACACTTCAACGGCTAGTTTTCTAGCCGTTGCAGAGTAGCACGGTCTGACCGGCCACATACCTCCGGTCAGACCGGCAGAGCACAAAGTTGGGGGATTTCGCCCCCAACGGCTAGTTTTGGTGGGTGGGAGTATAAATACTCCCCCACCAGCAGCAAGGGGACTCTCTTGGCACTCAATTTAATTGCATACACCCCTTGCACCTCTCTCACACTCACTTGAGCTTTGTGTTCATCCATCTAGTGTGTTAGAGGGTTGATTAGACAAGAGTCAAGTGCATTTGCTTCCATTGTAGAGCTAGTGTGGCACTTGATCATCTCCACGCCGGGTCATTACTTGTTACTCTTGGAGGTTGCCGCCTCCTAGTCGGCTTGTGGAGAAGTTGCCCGGTGACCTCTCCGAGAAGATTGTGGAGGAGGCCCGGTGCCGGTTTGTGAGTGGTTTGGAGTTCACTATCTTCGGAGTGAAGGAAGAACTACCCTAGTGATCGAGGCTTGGGTAGTCCTCTCTGTGGGCCGGCTCTCGCCTTGCCCACCCCTTGACGAAGGGGGCGTGCGGTGGCTTCGTGGTTGAGCGGTGGAGTTGGGCTCGCCTCAACGGGGAGTAGGAAACCGGCGAGTTTCCGAACCTCGGTGAAAAATCTCTTGTTTCCTTGTCTCATTTGATTGTCGCATTTACATTTGTGCAATTTACATTTCTAGAGACAAACTTGAGATCATATCACCCTAGGATTGCTAAACATTGACATAGGAGTGTGATTTACTTTCCTAGAGATATAATTGAGCCACTATCACCCTAGGTTTGCAAAACATAACTTAGTTGCTTAGTTAGAGTTGACCCTCACCAAGCCTAGCAACTTAGGTTAGTTTTGATTAGGTGTCATTTAGTTTTAAATCGCCTATTCACCCCCCTCTAGTCGACATCTCGATCCTACATTTCATCGGGGTTTTAGCCGGTGAGTTATCTGGACGTTGCATCGGCTCATAAGAATTGCACATACATATAAGTTGGATTTAGCTGATGACAACAAAGGTTTCACTGTTTAATCTAATCTTGTGGATTTCATGACATCGGACCTCCAGCCGATGTGCGCTTTAACCTTCGGATCGATGCTTATTTATCATATCATTGCCAGCCGATTGGTTTATACTGGATTATATTGTTATTTTATTACATCATCATCAGCCGATTGCTTTTATATCATCATCTACATTGGACATATAGCCGATTGCTTAAACCCTATTGCTATCGGCTGGTATCAGCATCGGCTATTATCGGCTATCAGCTGGAACTACTCCATCGGCTTGTCAGCCGATCGGCTGTTCTGATCTACTATTTGCATATCTTGTCAGTTGCAGGATCAAACTGACTGGCACGCCCGCATCTCATCAATCTTTGGACCTGCACGGGAGCTTAGCAGATTTCCCAGGCCAGTGTGTTCGATTTTTTCGTCAACAGTTACATATAAATGTTTCTATTATTTTGGGATAAAATTTAACTCCTTAGATTTATGTGACGGAGGGAGTATAAGTAATATAAGTCTATCTTTAATTAGATGAAGTAGTATCATTAGCTATATTTTTAATAGAAAATATCTTTCATTAATATATAATAAAATTAAATTGTTCCTTAAAGTCATCTATAGCATACAAAATAAAAAATGTTATATAAGTTTGGAAACTCCACAAATGTAAAAAAAAATAATCACTCATATATCGTACAAATAGATATGCACCACCTCCATCATTGTGACATATTTTTTTTCTAATAAATTTGAGCATATACGGTTTCAACTAATATGCCCAAACCAGTTATTAACGGACCCATGTTTAAAATAGAGTCAAAAATAAAAATTCGTATTAAAATTCAAACAACATTAAACAAACTTACACGCGCGTACGCGCGGGCTACCTTCGTAGTTTTTATAGTAGTTAACATACATTTATCCATACATTCGTAGTAAAAGCACGTTGCAGGTAAACATAAAGTAAAAATTTTCCCACTAGAACGGAAAAGCGTAAAAAATAATCCGAAGATTTGTTATAATTTGAAATTAACAGTAAAAGCAAGTTTTTAGGAAGGTTTGTGTCGCAGCGAATAAAAGTCTTATGCATATTTCATCTTTCATCTTTTTAATTGCTCGCTCACAAGAAGTATATTTCAAGAATTGCTCGCTCCAATAAAAGTCTTAGGCATATTTCAACTTTTTAATTTCAAATGAGATTATCATATTTGTAATGTATATATAATAAATTAAAATGCATTTATATTTGGAAAAAGCACACCGAAGGTCCCTCAACTTATCAGCGAGATAAAAAAGTCCTCGAACTGCAAAACCAGATATGCGGGGTCCCTTACCTATATAAAATCGGTCGCAATAGGTCCCTCGGTAATTTTGATCCCAGTTTTATCCAACGTGGCGCTTTGACCACGGCCATCGGCGGCTGAGTCCACGTAGGACCCATATGGACCCAACATGTCAGCGTGTCCACCTCACCTTCCTCTCTCTTTCCCCTCTTCTCTCCCTTCCTCCTCTTTCTCTTTCTCTCAATCTTCTCTCTGGGGCTTTGGGCAGGCCACCGCCGTCGGTAGACGGGGCGAGGCGGGAGAGGAGGTCCGCAGCCGGTGACACAGCGGCGACGCGGGAGCAGGGGAGCAAGGTGGCGGCAGGGGGAGCTGTGACTGGCGTGGGGGAGCTATGCTTGCCCGGAGCCGCCACCGACGACGAGGCCGAGCGGCGGGGAGTCGTCGGCGGCGGTGTCGAGGTGGCCTGCTCGACGAAGCAGTGGCGCGAGTGGCGGCGCCCGAGTCCATACTAGCGCGCCGCTGCGCGGCTCGAGGGAGAGAGGCGGTGGCCAAGTCGGCGAAGGGAATAGCGAGCAGGCGGGGCGTGATGCGGGAGGCGAGCAGGCGACGGCCCTTTCCCTGCCCGGATCTGCCACCGCCGACGAGGCCAGAGTCGTAGGCGCCGCCACTCCGCATCCACAGCGGCGGCCCCATGGGAGGAGGACATGGCGGCGCGCGATGCGAGAGCAGGAGGCGGCATCTTCGATGGCGGTGGCGATGGAGGTGAACGCCGGGAGGAGGAAGACAGCAGAGGGGAAGGGACATGCTTCGTCGCCGCTCTCCCTTGTCGGCCGCCGCGCGCCTCGCACTCTCCCCCGGCCGCCACCGTTCTTCTCCCCAGCCTGCTCCCGCCTCGCCGCTGCTCTTCTCCACTGCTGGTCGCCGGTCGCCGGCCGTCGGACCTCCTCTCCTCTCCCACCTCTCCATCCTCGTCGGCGCCTCACCAAGTCGCCGCCGCATCGTCCGTCATCGATCACCAGACAAGGAGCAAAGTGAGAGAAAGAGAGGAAGGGAGATAAGAGGGGAAAGAGAGAGATGATGTGGCATCCTGACATGTGGGACCCACATGGGTCCCACGCTGACTTAGCCGCCACGTAGGACAAATTCGGCGTCAATACTGCCCTGGGACGTCAGGTGACCGGTATAGTTAATGGACCCCGCGTATCTGGTTTTACGGTTCGAGGACGTTTTTGTATCTCGCTGACAAGTTGAGGGACCTTCGGTGTACTTTTTCATTTATATTTATAGTGTTCTGGGCCGGCCCGTAGGCACAAAAGCCCACCATGCTCTTAAATGGAAAAAAGTTCATTTTTATCCGTCATGTCTTTGGGTTGTCTCTTATATGGCTTAGTAAGTCTATTGTTCGTACCTCATCTCTTTGAGCCATGCTTATAGGCTGGAATAAGTCTATTTTGGGTCCCTTAACGATTTTGCATCCCCTGATGTTGAACCGGGCCGGCCCATGGTGACGAGGCCCATCACGGGCCCGACACCAGTCGGGGCGTGTCATGCTTGGGCCGGTCCAAAACCCCATGATATGGGCCGGGCCGTGGGGCCCCGGGCCTTTTGGCCGACGGTGTGAATGTGTGGGGAGGAAAGTAGCAGAGTGAAAGCTGATAGTGGGGTTGAAGCGAAGGGCCCACACGGTAGACAGAGATAGGAAGGAAAAGCATCCCAACGTTTCGAAGGCGAAAATTCGAACCATCCCGCCCTTCCCAAAAACCAGGTGGGCCCACTACCACTACCCACTGCAGGTGGGGCCACCAACGGTTGGGCCCACTCGTCATGGTCACAGGTAGGTGCGGGTGCGGGCGATTGATTCCGAAAATTTTGGGGGTTCCCGCTCCGGCTTCCGCCCAACTCCCATCTGAAATCGATTCGAATCCTCCCTCCTTCGATTTCACGCGGATTTCTTCTTCTCTCCATTTCCTCTTCTCCAGGTTCTCCTGCTCCTAAACCCATCCAAAACCCTAGCAAGAGGAAGAGGCAGCAGCAGCCATGGCGCCCAGCTCCCCGTCCTCCGCCGCCGCGCCCACGCGTACCTCCACGCGTAAGCGCGCCGCCTCCGCCTCCGCCTCCGCCAAGGCCACCGACGAGCCCTCCACCAAGCGCACCCGCAGGCCCAAGGCGGAGACCAAGCCCAGGAAGAAGAAGGACGAGGTAAAGGAGGAGGAGAAGCCGCCCATGGAGGACGACGCCTGCGGGGAGGAGCCGGATGCGGAGGAGATGGCCTTGGGGGAGGAAGCCGAGGCCGAGGAGGCGGAGGCGGAGCAGAAGCAGCTGGACGCCCCCGCCCCCGGTGTGGCGAGGAAGCGGGTGGCGCAGCCCAGCAGGGTCCGACACGGCAGCGACGGCGACCACGACCCGGAGTTCGTCGGCGACCCCTTCCCCGCCAAGGAGGCGCGCGACAAGTGGCCGCAGCGCTACCAGCGCAACGCCGCCACCAGGAGGTATAACACTCACGCATCCCAGATCTGGCCTCCTCACCACGTTTGCATCCTCCTCTCAACGCGTCCTCTGGGTTGGTGGCAGGCCCGATGAGGAGGAGGACATCAAGGCGCGCTGCCACTACAGCTCCGCCAAGGTCGATGGCACGCTCTACTGCCTCCACGACGACGTCTATGTCAAGGTTCACCACCCCATCTCAATTTCCTTCCTTCCTTCCTTTATTACGTCTTGCCATGCTTCGTGTCTATGCTTTAATTTATTGCGACTTGCTTGTCATTAATTGTGTCCCACTTAACTAGCTCATCTGGATCTCTAACACATCCGCCTCACCCTGATTTCTTTCGTTGTGTGTGATTTTTGTTGCATCAAACAAGGATGCTCCTTTCAATTATCAATTGTATGGAATGCCCCACATTTCCACTTATATCTTATTGTTAACTGAATATCCTGTCGTCACAATTCAGTCTTTGCATATACTCCTTTTTCGTGCTTGTGTATTTGTCAAATAATCACAATTATGTGGCCTTGCTCGATGAAATTACTTTTTCTCTAAAGTAGTACATCTCCATTTCGTTTGCAACAATCATAGGCTGAGGAAGATAAGGCCGACTACATCGGTAGAATTACTGAGTTCTTTGAGGGGACTGACCACTGCCACTATTTTACCTGCCGTTGGTTCTTTCGGGCGGAGGATACGGTGTGTATCAAACTCTACTAGAGTATGCTTTCCTTTCTTTTTTTTTGGTGTGTGTGTGTGTGTATGTCCAAACTCTAACAACGTACACATCTGGGAACTATCTTTGAAGGTCATCTCATCCATAATGATGGAGAATGCTGATGATGAAAAGCATGATCTCAAGCGTGTTTTTCTTTCTGAAGAAAAGAATGACAATGTGCTTGATTGCATCATTTCAAAGGTTAAAATCGTGTATATTGATCCAAATGTAAGTGGTCTCTCTCAGAATCTTGTGCTACCTCATGCTTGTAATGTTCCACATTGTGATTTTCCCCTTCATTTCGTTTAGATGGAATCAGAAGCCAAAGCTCGACGGTTGGCTGATTGTGATCTGTACTATGACATGTCGTACACCGTTGCTTATTCAACATTTGCTAATATCCCACTTGGTAAATTGCTCTGTTCTTGTTGCTAGCTGAATTAAGATGACCTCTATATATATTGCCCAATATATATTTGTGAACTGTTTCAAATAGAAGCACTAACTCATATTACTTCCACCTAGAAAATGGAGCATCAGGCAGTGACACTGCATCAGATATTTCTTCTGATGATGTGGATTCTTCCAAAGGCAAAGTTGTCTCTGATTCAGAGGCATCTTCAGTGGGAAAGGCTACACTCCTTGATCTGTACTCTGGTTGTGGCGGTATGTCTACTGGGCTCTGTTTGGGTGCGGCACTTGCTGGACTCAATCTTGAAACGGTATTATTCTTCCCTCATTCGTCTGGGAGAACTTTTGCGATATCAGTACTAAACCCTTTTTTTTTCTGCTATGTGGCCAGCGATGGGCTGTTGATTTCAATAGTTTTGCGTGCGAGAGTCTCAAGTATAATCATCCAAGAACTGAGGTATGTTGTGAACTGCATTGATCTATTTGTTTTCAGTGTTGTTTTATGATCTGCTAACTCTAACGAGCTAATCATTGGATCAACGTGCTATGGATTGTGTAATCAAATTTGGCATACTGTGAAGAAACCATTTGGTAATGCTAGTACCTTTTTTTTCCTGAATGCAGGTCCGGAATGAAAAGGCGGATGAGTTTCTTGCTCTTCTTAAGGGATGGCATAGCCTTTGTGATGAATATGTCAAGAAAGATATTGATTTCAGTTCAGCTGGTGCCTCAGAGAACGAAGAGGATGATGATGAGCCTCTTGAAAAGGATGAGTTTGTTGTGGAGAAACTAGCTGGAATCTGCTACGGTGGCAGTGGTAGAGAAGATGGCCTCTATTTCAAGGTACCCTTGTCTCATCATTTGCATATTATTTATGGGTTCCTGCAGTATTCTGTGAGTGTTGCTTCAACATAATTCTTTTAACAGGTACAATGGAAAGGCTATGGCCGTGAAGAGGACACTTGGGAGCCTATTGAGAACCTCAGGTTGGTACCTTTCTGGCTGGCATATAATCATTAACAAGGTTTATTTCTGTTTGAAATAACCTAATCTATTTTTTAATAACCTAGGGATTGCCCATTGAAAATTAAAGAATTTGTGCAAGAAGGATACAGGAGAAAAATCTTGCCTCTTCCGGTGAGTATTTGCTTTCCTTTTATGCTCTTTTCTGCTATATACTTTGATCTGCTGATGCCATCTATGTTTAATAATTCCATAGGGTGATGTTGATGTCATTTGTGGTGGGCCACCATGCCAAGGAATAAGTGGTTTCAATCGGTTCAGAAACCGCAAAGAGCCACTAAAAGACGAGAAAAACAAACAGATGGTGACATTCATGGATATTGTGGCATACCTGAAGCCTAAGTATGTCCTGATGGAAAATGTTGTAGACATACTGAAGTTTGCAGATGGTTACCTTGGACGTTATGCCTTGAGCCGTCTGGTGGCTATGAAGTACCAAGCACGACTTGGAATGATGGTTGCAGGTTGTTATGGCTTGCCACAATTTAGGATGCGTGTGTTCCTCTGGGGAGCTCTTCCTACCATGGTTTGTTTCCATTGCATTTGTGAACATTTGGTAGTGTTTGATCGGAACAGTGACCAGGTGCATTTGTTAATGTAGGTGCTGCCAAAGTATCCGCTTCCCACTCATAATGTTGTTGTCCGTGGTGGTGCCCCAAATGCTTTTTCTGTAAGTCTGACCATAACTCTAAATTCCATTGAAAGTCTCCGTATTCTGACTAGCTTGATCTTGCTTGCAGCAAAGTATTGTTGCATACGATGAAACACAGAAGCCAACATTGAAAAATGCACTGCTGCTTGGCGATGCAATTTCGGATTTGCCAGAGGCAAGTGTTTCATCATCTATTAATACGTTTCTTGACCTGCAACTGCAATCTTACCCCTTATCTTCAGGTAAACAACCATCAGCCTAATGAAGTGATGGAATATGGTTCTTCCCCCAAAACAGAATTCCAGCGCTATATCCGGCTTAGCCGTAAAGGTAATAAAACAACCTCTAATAGCTATCATTTGTGTGCTTTGAATATGATGGGTGGGTTTATTTTTGTTATCAATGATTTTTTCCCTTACATTTCACCCTGTACACCAAGTTTAATTCATTTTTTCCCCAAATGTTCTAGAAATGCTGGATAGTTCTTTTGAAGGGAAGGATGGTCCAGATCTAGGCAAGCTTTTGGATCACCAGCCCTTAAAGCTAAATAAGGATGACCATGAGCGTGTGCAGCAAATTCCAGTAAAGAAGGTTGTCAGTTGTACAGCTTTGGTCCTTTGTGAACTTGTCCACTCATTCTTTCTGCAGTCATAATCAATTTACTGTGTTTCAGGGAGCCAACTTCCGGGACCTGAAGGGTGTCAGGGTTGGGGCAAACAACATCGTGGAGTGGGATCCAGACGTTCCCCGTGTATATTTATCTTCTGGCAAGCCTTTGGTAAGTGTTCCGTGCTCTCCCCATTGTTGTGAATTGTTTGCTGCATCTAGTATCTGCTGCTTAGTATGCAGCTAGTGCCATGCTGTTTGCAGTCACAAGGGGATGTATTTATATTCAGGGGAGCACGTTTACAGTTGTGATGCATCTATTACTTTGTGGGGACAAATTTACAGGCGCCCTAGGTGCTGATTAGCCCTTTTGAATTATGCTCCCTTTGTTTTGTATTGTCAGGCACCTTGATTTTTTTTCTAAGTCAATTTTTTTTAAAATTGATCAAGTTTATAGAAGAAACGTAGCAATATTTTCGATACTAAACAAATATACTATCAAAATATATTAAATATTAGATTTAATGGAATTAATTTGGTGTTATAAGAGTTGCCATATTTTTTCTATTAACTTGGTACACTTATAGAAGTTTGACTTAACAAAAGACAAAGTGTCTTATGATTGAAGCGGAGGGAGTATATTGCATTTTTAGGAAAAATATGTTAAAAGTATTAGAAGGCCTGACAAAGTAGCTAGAGAATTTCTAGGAGTGGAGTTTCAAACCAAAGTAACAAAGCATGGCATCCTCTAAATTTTCATGAACTTTGTTATGAGGAGCTCCTAGCTTCCTAATCTTCTATTATATACTAAAAGTCCATGAAACTTTCTACAAACGCTCCTAAGCTGCCATGTAGTATTCCTAGAAACACTCTTAAATCGCCACGTGGCATTTTAATAAGTTGGTGGGCCCATTATTTTCAATGAATAAATTTATCTTTAGAGGGAAAAAAAACCACAATCCCTCCCAAATACCAGTCCCACTCTCAAACAACCCTAGTCGGATGTACATAGTCGTACATGGTACGACTATGTACGTTCCTCCATCTGATAACCTATTACTCTAAATATAAATAAAGATAATTCAAACCGGTGAACTCATTAAATTTATTTTAAAAATACAAACTCTACTAATTTTTAAAGTAGACCGTTATCCCTTTCATGACAAACTAAGTAAGAACGCAACATAAGAAAATAACAATATTTATTATTTTATATTAAATTCATTTTATATAATAAAGATTGATTAAATCACCACATGTCACGTTTTAAACTTAAGAAAAGTAATTAAAAGAAAAAAAGAAATTGATATACCTATTATTTTTAACCATTAGATCATTTTCAGAAAATCTTAATCCACCACATCATGTCTTAAAGGTTAAAAAAACATTGAAATCTAAGGAAAAAAAACATTGGTTTTCACTTAGATATCTGCAAATCAGTCCTCCACCTTCACATCCTGCCAGTCCATCACATGTGCATAATAGTGCCCACCCCTTGCCATCTCTCAATCGAGCACTGCACTATTTATTCCTCACCAGTCCCTCCCTATCTAGTTTTAGCTATCGAAGTAAAAGAGAAACAACCAATAATTATAGATATTGAAAAGACCATAGTTTTAAGCTACACATATTATTTCTAATCCAACTCTTGCTGTATTTATATTTAAAACAACAATTTAAAATCCACATGTCTGTATTTTGCAATATAAAATATATGACATTTAGGCACACTCCACCAGTGCACTTGGCATGTCATCCAAATAGCAACGGATTATTATATAAATTGTCGAGACATATTTCATTACTATACATCAGTCTACAAATGCTGATAGCTATACTAAATCAATAGTACCCAAACAAAATTGGCAAATTCATGTTCCAATCATTGTTTTTATCGATGGACAACACCCTTGCTATTTTACATGCTATTGGACTTGCCTTGAAAAACTATGAAATAATTCAACAAGGCACGTTGCTCCATCATATATTGTTTTGCAAACATGCAAAACTAAACTAGATATTCAGTGCATAAGAAAAAGATAGCTGAAATTTTAATAGTCTAAGCTACTACATTAAAAAATAATTCGAAGGGACAAACAATTTAACAAACATAGGTTGCATCATTATACATTGTTTTGCAAATAGGCATAGCTTAACGAGATAAACACCGTATTATGAAAAAGAACTATCTCAAATATGAAGATGCAGAGTTGCTATTGTATTAAAAAAAATGGTGCCTGACTTATAGAAAACAATATGATTACTTCGTATTTTTTAAAAGGGACAAGTTTGTGCATTTGACCCTACTTTTCAAAATTAGAGTTACCGTCTCACCCTGTTTTGAAATGAGTAAACTTAAAAAATAGCGTTAGTAGATTGGTATTTAGGTTTTGAAATAGGCCAAAATGGACAATTGTCCTTTTTAAAAAAACTAATATGCTCAAATAATCCAAATGTTCTTCCTATTTTCTGTGTACCATGTTACCCTAAACAACAATTTTAGGCAGTCACTTGACACTCTAATAAATTAGAGAAAATTCTAGAAATTCCGAGAAAAGAAAAGCAAAGCATCTTGCCATCCTTTTATCACTTAAACAAGTGGATTCATTATTTCCAATCATTACATATACCTTATATATATATATAAAAATATCACATCCACCTCCACCTTCTGCTACCTATCATATTCAAGCATGTATTCATGATAGATCACATTCCAAAAATAATATTACCCAATTATATTTAGCCGTCCAACCATATTCACCATAGGCTACGTAGAGCCTCATGTCCCAACCAATCCATCCATTAATAAAAATTGACAACTTATATAGGTAATCAATTAAAAAATGAAAAAAAAAAACACCACTTTTCTGTTACACTAAATTTGGTAGACATGTTTTCTAAACAAAATAAGTCCAAAATAAGACGATTACAAGGATTATAAAAAAAATGTTTATGGGGATTGCTTAAGTAAGCAATAGAAAAAAATGGAGAAATCGTGCTTTTGAAGCATAGCAAATGTTTTCCAGTTTATATTCCGCCATTGTAAGTGTATAAAATAACACTATACGATGCATGCCCGCGCAGATGCGCGGGCTATCTTCCTAGTTGTTACAATTGCTGAAGAGCTAGCTTGTCTGTGTGGCTAGGTTCCTGACTACGCGATGTCTTTCATCAAAGGGAGATCACTGAAGTAAGTTGCACAATATCTCTGGTTTCTTCTCCTGCAGTAAAATTTGGAGTGCGATATATTTCTTACAAATGTTGTTGTAGGCCATTTGGGCGCTTGTGGTGGGATGAGACGGTTCCTACAGTTGTGACCCGAGCAGAGCCACACAACCAGGTCCGATTGTCAAGAAAGTATAGCAATTTCTACATCTGTGCATCCTTTCTCAACGTGTCTGAATGTGCTTCTCTGCAGATTATATTGCATCCGAATCAGGCGAGAGTTCTGACCGTAAGGGAGAATGCAAGGTTGCAGGGGTTCCCAGACTACTACAAGATGTTTGGCCCTATCAAAGAGAAGTAAGCTTTGTCCCTTTCACATCACATATTATATTGAGTTGCACCGTCCATCAACAATGGTGTCAACTCTAAATGTTGGGTTCTAACTGGAAGGCTGTGTTTGATGGCGGTTGCAGGTATATACAAGTTGGCAATGCAGTTGCTGTACCTGTTGCTCGTGCATTGGGTTACTCCCTTGGGCTTGCATACCAGCGTGAGTCGGAGGGGAGCAGCCCTCTGTTCGTCCTGCCAGACAGCTTCACGGAAGTCGGGCGACAGGCGGCGCCGGCAAGAGCATCCTCTGTTGGTATCCCTGTTGGCGAGGTTGTTGAGCAATAGAACACTTGGGTAGAGTAGAGTCATTATTTGGTTCGATTCGAACCGATCCGGGAGAATGTTGTTTAAAATCACTGATCAGCCACCTTGGTGCTGTCATGTGATCACCATCAATGTTATTATTGATTGATTGAATGTTGTAAGGCTGGTGGCACTCCTGCTTGAGTGCTTGTTGTACTTGTAGCATAAGGTCCAAAACATTCATTCATATCCTTCTATGGGCTATCTTATGTCTGTATCCTGATAGATTGTTTGTGTTCAATCATCATCTCACATTGTATAGGCTGCCCCTGATATCATTGTTGCATCAACCTTGTGCTTTTTTGGGGCTTATTTGTTAGTCCCTCAATCTGAACTAGTAAAGTTGAAGTTTGGATGTTGAAATGGATTTTGGGCCTAGAGTTCTCTTTGGTGTATTGCTGGTACAAAGGCGCTTTGCGAAATTCTATTTGGGTAGCTCCCTTTGGATAGCTAGTTTGTCCTAGGGGGTGTTTTGGTTGTGTCATGTTTCACGATGTGTTTTTTTCTTGTTTTTTTTTTGGTGTTTTTAGAGAGGTCCTTTGGATCACTCGGTTATATAGTTTATCTTCTTAATGAAATGAAGCGTAGTTCTCTTGTGTTTTTGAGAAAAAAAAAGCAACAGTCACTAGTTAGATAGTGTGATGGATCAAGGTGCCAGTTGAGGCTAATGACGACTAGAGCCAAACCAGGTATCAAGTGGATATGCAATTAAATTGTTTGCTCCTCTTTTGTGCGTGTTAGTACATTCTTTTTTTTTTCAATCGGAAAGACTACTACTCCATGCATTCTTTCTCACATACTCCCTTCCTAATAAACTGAGACTATCAAACATACTTGTAGGATAAAAGAAAGATCTTAAAACAATAGGTCTTGCCTAGTTACAATAGTTCTACTAGTTCTTTTTTTGTTGTTTCTTTGTAGTTATGTAAATATTTACTCTCTCCGTACTCGTAAAGGAAGTCGTTTAGGATAATGTTTAAGTCAAACCTTGGGAATATAAATCATAAATAACTCTCAAGTTGTTGAGTTTAAAAATGTAAAAATTATATGAATAGATTTATCTTGAAAAATACTTTCATAAAAGTATACATATATCATTTTTCAATAAATATTTATAGAAACAAGAAGTCAAAGTTGTGTTTTGGAGACCGTGTCAATGTCCTAAACGACTTCTTTAATGAGTATGGAGGGAGTACAACTATACTGAGTATTGTCTAGTCAGTGTTCCCTTAAAAAAAAGTCCACCATTGGATGAAACTTGCTTTTGAATGTTTATAACTATTAAGGCCCTGTTTAGTTCCCAAAACAAAAATTTTCACACTGTCACATTGAATGTTTGGACACATGCATGGAGTATTAAATGTAGGAAAAAAACAATTACACAAATTGCGTGCAAATTATGAGACGGATCTTTTAAGCGTAATTGCGCCTTGATTTGACAATGTGGTGCTATAGTAAACATTTGCTAATAACGGATTAATTAAGCTTAATAAATTCGTCTCGCAGTTTCCTGGCGGAATCTGTATTTTGTTTTGTTATTAGACTACGTTTAATATTTCAAATGTGTGTCTGTATATCCGATGTGACAACCAAACTCAAAAATTTTCCCCAACTAAACAAGGCCTAAAGCTTGTTATTTGCGTGCATCGTACAATGGCAAGAAATTGTACTTTTATTGTATAAAAATAACTAATAAAGTTGTAGTTTGTACCTTCCATCACATATATGCATATGTGGGTTTATTTGTAGCATGGCTAAAAATGGAGAATGGCATGGAGAGATATATGGCAGTAGTTGGAAAGGATGACGAGAATTGCGTGTCACCCTCTTCCCTTTGGCCCTGTTGCCCCCAATTCGCCTTCGACCCCTTCTCCTTCTCCTTCAACATCTAATCATCACGGAGAAAGGATAAGGTACATTACCCCCATCACAATACATAAAAAAGTTGTTTTTTATTGCATTTGGTTGAAACTTGCATGATTGTTGATCTAGCGTTCATGTGACATGTTTCTCTAATGTTTTGATGTGCGGACGACATGTGTATTGATCCCTTGACATTTGTATCTCAAATTAAATGGTGATTTGCTCATGCGTTTGATTCACATGCTTTGATTATTGCCTTTCGTTTATGAAATACTTTATCTATTTCATATTATAAGTGGTTTCGACTTTTTTTCAAAGTTAAATTTGATCAAGTTTATAGAGAACTGTAACAACTCTTATAACACAAAAATTAGTTTCATTAAACCTAACATTTAATATATTTTGGTAGTATATTTGTTTGGTGTTAAAAATGTTACTACTATGTTTTTTTCATTTAAATTTAGTTAAACTTTAAAATATTTGCAAAAAGAAAAAAAATCAAAAGAAACTTAATAATTTGAAATGGAGGGAGTATAAGAATGCACGTAAATATGTGATGCACCTCCACACATTCAATTAAACCGTTCACTTTAATGACATAAGATACTCCCTCTATTTTATATTATAAATTGCTTTAACATTTTTCATAGTCAAATTTTATTTAGATTTGACTAAATTTATACATAAATTTAGCAATATCAGCTACACCAAATAAGTTTCATTAAATATAACATTAAATGTATTTTTACAATATATTGAATATGTTACTATGTTTTAAGTTGAAGTAAGAAAAAGAATATATTACACTCACGGTACAACAACTTGGCGGGTGTGTATGATATAGTGCAAGAACTTAAGAATTAAAACGTTCGAGTGCAATAATTTGATAAGTGAGTGCACTCTAGTATAAGAACTTGACAATTTAGTATTTAGTGCATCAACTTAGCTAAACATATGCTAGGTGAGTTTTTCTCATGATGTCAATATACCATTACAATAAAGTTAAAACGACTTGTAACGGAGGGGTAACATGAACAAATCAACTCACAACAATTTTTCACCTGTCCTAATTTTATCCGTTATTGATTAATTAAATTTAACTTTTTGCAGGGGTGGGTTCACAAATTTTTTCAATTGTGTTCTTATTTATTAGAGGTAATTAAGTAATTATTATTAGAGGTACAAATTAAGGTCTCTGAGAGAGAGGGGCCGGGGTGGGCCCTAGCTAGGTAATGGCAGCCTCGCCGGAGTCGTCTCCGTCGTCGGCCAACTCCACCACCCCGTCAGCACCGTCGCCGTCTTCGTCGTTGTCAAAATCACCCTCACCTCCCTCCCCATCATCGCCGCCGCCACCAGCATCGACGAACGCGCCACCAAAATCAGCTGGCGGCGTTTCATCTTCCACGCAAGCGCAACCATCGTCGGAATCATCGTCGGAGTCTACGACTACGCCTTCGGCGCCAGCGGAGAGGAAGAGCGGCGGGTCCTCTCGAGGAGAGTCCGGGCGGTATCGCGGTGATGTGACCGCCGGCGTGTTTGTGGGGTTATTTGTGGTGGCGATGGTTGCGGTGTTGGCGGGTGTGGTGGCCATCGTGGTGTGCTGCTGTATAAAGATAACGAAGAAGAAGAAGCGGCCGCCGCCGCCGAACATGCCCTTCTTCACCGACGAGAAGGGCAACGTGTACTACGCCACAGGCGGCCTGCCTCCCATGTGGCAGCAGCACGGCAGCAGCAACTACAGCATCCCACCTCCGCCGCCGCCCGGCTGGCACATGTCATCGTCGGCGGGGGGTTTCAGCGGCGAGATGGGGATGGGGTACTCGTCGGGACCGTACGGTCCGGCGCTGCCGCCGCCGTCGCCGAACGTGGCGCTGGGTTTCTCCAAGAGCTCCTTCTCGTACGAGGAGCTGGCGGCGGCGACGTCGGGGTTCTCGGCGGCGAACCTGCTGGGGCAGGGAGGGTTCGGGTACGTGTACAAGGGGGTGCTCGCCGGGAACGGGAAGGAGGTGGCGGTGAAGCAGCTCAAGTCCGGGAGCGGGCAGGGGGAGCGGGAGTTCCAGGCGGAGGTGGACATCATCAGCCGCGTCCACCACCGCCACCTCGTGTCTCTGGTGGGATACTGCATCGCCGCCAACCAGCGCATGCTCGTCTACGAGTTCGTCCCCAACGGCACCCTCGAGCACCACCTCTATAGAGGCGGCAATGGCGATCGAGTTCTAGACTGGTCGGCGCGGCACAGGATCGCGCTGGGGTCGGCCAAGGGTCTCGCCTACCTCCACGAAGACTGCCACCCGCGGATCATCCACCGCGACATCAAGGCGGCCAACATCCTCCTGGACGCCAACTACGAGGCCATGGTCGCCGACTTCGGCCTCGCCAAGCTCACCACCGACACCAACACCCACGTCTCCACCCGCGTCATGGGCACCTTCGGCTACCTGGCCCCCGAGTACGCCTCCACCGGCAAGCTCACCGAGAAGTCCGACGTCTTCTCCTTCGGCGTCATGCTGCTGGAGCTCCTCACCGGGCGGCGGCCCGTCGACACCTCCAACTACATGGAGGACAGCCTCGTGGACTGGGCGAGGCCGGTGCTGGCGCGCTTGCTGGTCGCCGGCGGCGAGGAAGGAGGATTAATCCGGGAGCTGGTGGACTCGCGGCTGGGCGGGGAGTACTCGGCGGTGGAGGTGGAGAGGATGGCGGCGTGCGCGGCGGCGAGCATCCGGCACTCGGCGCGGCAGCGGCCCAAGATGAGCCAGATCGTGAGGGCGCTGGAGGGGGACGCCTCGCTCTCGCTGGACCACCACCACGACGACGACTTCTCCGCCTCATCGGAGATCTCGCGGCATCGGCAGGTGGCCTTCGACAGCGGCGACTACACCGACGACTACTCCACCACCTCCACCTCCACCCACTCCTCCCGCCTCCCACCCAAGCGCTAATCATCACTAATTCTTTTATTTATCGATTTAAATTATAATTAGCTGGTTTCACAAATCACCCTACACTCGTGGAGAAACCATCTTTACTCCCGGTTGGATATCCATTTAATCCCGGTTTTCCAACCGGGAGTAAGGATCCGGGACTAACCGGGACTAAAGATGTATCCTTAGCCACCAACCAGGACTAAAAAGAAGGGATCAACCGGGACTAAACAGACAATAGCGGTAGTGCAGATGGTCCCTTTTTCTTTTTCTTTTTTTTTATTTTCTCCCGAATCAAGTAGGCAAATCCCCAAATCTAACTAACATCCCAAATTCACAACACCAAATCCACCTCACAAATCATAAAGTTACTTATACACACAAATCAAATACATCACAATATCCTAAGAAATTACTCAAATACATCACAAATCCAAACAATGAATCACAAATTTGTAACTTCTCGGATAAATACATCTCAGTGAATCATCACAAATTAAAAAAAAAAGAATGCCGCTGCCGGTCGCCACGAACGACGGGCGCGGCCCCGCCGCCCGCCGCCGCCCGAAGCCCTGCCGCCGCCCGCCACCGGGCGCGGCCCTGCCGGCCTTTGCCCCGCTGCCCGCCGGCCGCCGCAGCGCGCGGCCCCGCCGCCGACCGGCCCGCCGGATGGGAAGGGGAGGCCGGCCGGGAAGGGGAGGAGGAAGGGAGAGAAGGGGAGGAGAGGAGGAAGGGGAGGAGTTGGAGAAGAGAGTTAGAGAGGATAGATCTGAGGGGAGGGGGTGAGATTCGATCTGTTAAGTTGTAACTGTGGAGGAGAGGATAAGGGATAGGGATTATATACTACGTGTTTAATTTTAGTCCCGGTTGGTACTACCAACCGAGACTAAAGATCATCTTGATCTTTAGTCCCCGGTTGGTACTACCAACCGTGACTAATGTGGTGATCTTTAGTCCCGGTTATTGACACCAACCGGGATTAAAGATCTTCGGCCCCCTGACATACATCTGACAGGGGATGAACCGGGACTAAAGATCATCTTTAATCCCGGTTGGTGTTACCAACCGGGACTAAAGATCAAAATTTTTATAACCGGGACTAAAGATCATCTTTAATCCCGGTTGGTGTTACCAACCGGGACTAAAGATCAAAATTTTTATAACCGGGACTAAAAACAATCTTTAGTCCCGGTTCTTTTTGGATCCGGGACTATTGTGGATTTTGCCGGACCGACCAAAGATGGTTTCTCCACCAGTGCTACGAATCAAACTCGAGTATACTTACTTCTATGGCCATATATGTGTATTATATATAGTCGTTTGGATTTAACTGCTTGTGTATACCATATTCTTCATTAACACATATACATACCTATATATAAATCCTACTCCCTCTGTCCCAAAATATAACGGATTTTGAACGGATAGAATATTTTCTAGTATAACAAATCTGAACAGAGTTATCTAGATTTATAGTACTAGTAAGTGTCCCACAAGTCCAAAATCCCTTTTATATTTTGGGACAAAGGGAGGAGTATATAAGTAGCCCCATAGTTATGATTTGGTGCAGTCACGTCATCTGTATTATTTCAGCCATTAGATGAGGGGAGAGTAGGTGTCATATGAACCGTTCGATTAAATCTGAGTATTGGATACTTGTATAATTGTTGCCCCAACTTTACTTTTCATATATAAGGATACTCTCATTTAAAATGATACCACAAATCACTGCTCCACTACTCTAAATATTCTCTCCATTTAAGCTACTCCCTCCGTTTCACAATGTAAGTCATTCTAGCATTTCACATTTATATTGATGTTAATAAATCTATATAGATATATATGTCTAGATTCATTAACATCAATATGAATATGGGAAATGCTTGAATGACTTACATTGTGAAACGGAGGGAGTAGAAATTAACCAAGAGGTCACCAATGCCATAAATCCTAAACGACCGTTACCACTGTCATTTTATCTCCATTTGCAGTTTCACATGCATGGGCTTAATCAAGAATTAAGAACATATCTTTATATATAAGATAGCTTTGTTTACCTAAGAATTCTGTACTACCTGCTTAATGCTGAATATACCACTGATGGAATCAACCAAGGATGGGTGCCAATTAAAAATAGGTTAGTATGCTCATATTTCATCATTTTGCATTTTTGTGTGATCTTCACATCTTTTTCCATAATTACACTATAATTTACTCTATTTTTTTACTTGCATCACATTTCTAATCCCTTCTCTTTTGTCCAAACGAGTTTGCATGAAAATGTCCCTCTAGGACAGGAGCGGATCCATCATGGGAGCGGCGGGTGTTTGAACCTTCAATACTGGCGTGAGGACCATGGGAGTCCCTTTAAAGCATCTACAATTTTTTTTGCCATATGTAGATGGGAGAGGGGGTTATAGCTTTGTTCTAGTATATTCATACCCCTACTATTTTTTTCATGGATCCGCCACTGCTCTAGGATGTCACTTACACTATGATATGCGTGGCTCAATGTTTTCTCCAAGGGATATATGTTTGGGATCGTCGGTACGAGAGTATATGCGAGATTGAGGTAAAAGAGATGAAGACAAGGATTTTCATACAGGTTTGGGCCCCTTATATATCTAATTGGTAATAGCCCTACATCCTATTGGTCGAAACCGGTGTTGCTCTTATTCATCTGAACCACACAAGTACAATATTTGGGATAACCTATCTAGTTGTCGTCGACTTGTCGGCATGGATAACCAACTCGTAGTCGATGACAGGGTAGTCTTCCTCCTCGAATTCGCACTCGGCGAGATCAGAGGTAGCGCTAGATCCCTCTTGTTGGCCTCCGCAGACACCATATTGGGATTGTTTAGGCTTATCTCTGATGTCGATATCCGACGGCTTGTCTTGGCGTATGTTGGCTTGTGTATTGTGTGCAACATCTTGTGGCCTTGTGGCGTGTCCCTCTCCTTCTAGGAGGCCTTGTATTTATAACCATAGATATCCCCTTGTCTAAGTAGAACTAAAGAGACCAATATGGATACAATCCGAGTAGTCCTTGTCGTTTCCTCGTAGAACTCCATTTGTCCTTCTATATACGAGGTATGATTCCATATAAGACTTAGTATGTGGTGTGTCCCGCCGAGCTTAATCGATTACTATTAATTGAGTATGTGATATCTATAACCCTAACAAGACAGACATGGTTTTTCATAGCGAATGCATACATAATAAAACTTTGTTTCATCTTCCAAAACAAAACATAACAAAAATAACAAGAATAGATTACCAGCCAACACTATATTACGGTCATTGCGCCCTTTACGTTTTATTCAGGAGAAAATATGCTATATCAAGTTATTCTATTTTTACCACAAAATAGAGTAATAATTGTTGATGGTATCAACTTATTATCATAGCTTCCTCCTTTGTTACTTGATGAATGTAAAGTTTTCCTAATAAAATTTCAAAGTTGTACGTTTCTTCGTTTACTTAAGCTGTACTATATTTTATACGCACACCAATCCAATGTCACTTAATTTTATCTTATAAAATTTGCTTATGTCAATTTCATACATATTTTCACAGCAACACGCGAAGTACTATCTAGTTAATAGATGACTACTCCACCAACTCCTCTGCCGCGCTTCCGCCCAAGTGCTAGCTAAACATATATTGCATCTTTAACCAACTAGAATTTAATTTAATCGATTGATTAATTAATTAGCTGATGCTGGGGCATGCCTTTGCGTGCCGCTTGTACAAAGGATCGACACGCTATAATACACTAGTTGATTGACAATGAATACCTTCATGAATCCTTCAAACATATCTTGAAATTTATGAAGACGCTGCAGTCGTCTCACTATCGATGGTTATGTCGTTAATTAGCTATAAATACAAGCACATGTGTTAAGTTTAGGACTTGAATCCGAGTGGATAGATTCCACCACCAGAAATCCTTCTAATTGGCATTCAAGTAGTGTAGACCATAAGGATCCACCCTCATTTGGAGCTTGAGGCGATGTTCATTGCTTGAAAGCTATTAATGTGCAATGGAGAGGGAGTAAGAGTAAGCAGAGAAAACTTGACTAGAGAATGATTCGGTTGTTGAAAGATATTTGTCATCTGACATGACAGATTTTTATTACACTCATTTTTTTAAAATGTGAAGTGCATAAAAAGTTGATCATAGTTCCTTGTTCACACGCTATGTTGCACGTAAGATAATAATGATTTTGTAGGCACCTCTCTAATTAATATGTAGAATCAAAGGTTTCTAGGCTCTGTTTGGTTCCATGGGCTAATGTTTAGCCATCACCTTTTAGCCTCAAATTAGCCTTCAATGATCCAAACATGTGGGCTAATTTTGAGCTAATATGAATTAGCTCCCCTCAAAACATTAGCCCCTCCAAGGGGTGCTAATGGGGCTAATTTTGTGTTGGGACCATCAAAAAGCAAAGCAGCTCTCTCTCTCTCTCCTTCTCTCTCCTCTCTTTCTACTTTCTCTCCACCTTTTAGCTTTGAATTAGCCCATGGTTCCAAACATGCCATCGTAAGCTAATGTTTAGCCTACCAATTCATGACTAAACATTAGCTCTCAAAATTAGCCCTGGGCTAATCTTCCAAACAGGCCCTGGTAGGGTGCCCAACGATTGAAATTGATGCTACATTTATTGCCATGCACATAGACTATACTTTGGTGAATCCTCTCAACATGTGCTTAGGTAGATATTTAAAACTTCATGAAGTTTACTTTCAAACCCATATATATGAACTATGAAGACATGATTATCAAAAATTAAAATTTGGGCTTAGAGTTAACAACACTGAAAGTCTCATTTGTAGGAATTAAATAGTCATGACCATATCATATCCTTCATTCAACCTTGGCCGCCACAACTTCAACCGTATATTGATTATAATGCTTCCTCTGCTATGGATTACCACATTCTTCTCGTTGGTGATGTTGATCGATGTGCCTCCTTACTACTGAGTGGCATCTACTATCACCAATAGTAGTATATACCATTGTAAAAATATGTTTTATCATAAAAAAATCATGGTCCTAGGTTCATAAAAAATGAATGAATTTTAAATTGCGCATGAAATTTTGATTTGGAGGTCCTCATAAATAGAGGTAGAGTGAGCATGTGAGTGTTTATAGAGGTGAGTGTGCGTGTGTGCATATGAGGCTATGAGCACGCGCATGGTGTTTTCTTTTAAGAAAATCATGTTTCGTCCGTTTTATAATATAAGTTGTTTTGACTTTTTCATAGAAAATTTAGCAGCATCTATGATACCAAATTAGTTTGATTAAATCAAAAACATTAAAAATATTTTGATAATATATTATTTTGTGTTAAAAATGTTATTGTATTTTAATATAAACTTGATCAAACTTAAAATAGGTTCAGTTATGAAAATAAATCAAAACAACTTGGAATATAGGGAGTACTAAGCTAGCTCATCGTGACTGTTCAGATTTGTGGTATTAGGATATGTTATATATCATAGTAGATTAATGTGGGACGGATGAGTAGCAATGTATGGTCCAATTGAGATCCTACAGTACTGCATGTGTCACATGTCTGTATCCGGTATGGTCTGTTCAAACGCCTGAGCGACTAGTTACTTGCTGGAGTTGTTGTATTGTTACAGATAGACCCTTGACAATCAGGCGGATACGAGCAAAAGCAAAGGCGATATTTGAAGAAAAAGATGAGAATGAGAGTGAAATTTTAGAAGTCGGCCATTGGAGAAGTAGGAAATTGGAAGGAAGAGGGTATGTGAAGGCCGCAGGTGGCAATTCGGCCCAAGAAAGCAGAAAGTGGGGTGGCAAAATTGTAGAAAGGCCCAACAAAAATTGTAGAAAGGCCCAACAAATTGTGCGAAAACCACCCCACAAAAATATCGTCTCCTCCGCGTGTGCGGAAACCACCCCGCATAATTTCCAAAATACCCCCGAGCCCTAATCCCCTCTTCCCCTTCCTCCTCGCTACGGCGGCGGCGGCGACGGCGACCGCCGGAGCCGACCCGATCCCACCCGAGTCCTTCCCTGTGCGCGCACCGCTCCTTCCTCTACTTCCCGACCGCCGCTTCCTCCCCTGTTGGTGTGGGCGCGGGCGGCTAGAGGAATCGAATTGAAGGTATACGTCCTCTTCCTCCTCTGCGTCGTGACTTGGTGGATTGAAGGGCCGGCCACCTGCGTGTTGTAGATTGGGAATCCGTCCACTTCTTTTTTCTCTTCTGGATCGATTTCTTTCTTTCTTCCCCTTCAATCTCATGACTCTGCTTCTGGATTTCTTTGATGCGGTGTGGGGTGGGGTGGGGTGGGGTGGCTGGTGTAGTACTACCAGGCACCAGCAGCAGCTTGTGTTTCATCCTCCTCCTCCTAAGAAAAAAAAAGAAAATAGAACCAACCCATGCTCCATGTTAGGTCAGCCCCTTGGGCTTCTTGTTATTTTGGATCTGTTGTTTCTTCTTTGCAATACATCTCAAGGCCATGTTTTTTTTTCATTACAGATAAGCTGGGGTTCCTTTTGGTGCCTGTCGGTCCATAAAAATAGTTTCTTTGGTTCACCGAATGGTCAAAAAAAGTAGAATTGGGGGACCAAATGTGTGATTCGTATGTAATTAGGGGGCTTTCCATTATATATATTTGGGGTGTGTTTCAATCCTCTTAGCACCCATGAAAACACGACTGTTTCTTAAAGTATTCTGTTTCCAAGTGTAAAAAGGAAAAGGAAGATATGTAGCAGGGGCATCCTGATTCAAAATCTACCTTAGGTTTGGGGTCACGCAAAATTACAATGTTGAACTGTTAATTTGTTTGCTTACAGTTCATTTGCTTCCATTTTGAACTGTTGCATATATGTTTTGATACAGTGGAACAGATTACATCTTCAGTCTTGGTTCTTTTTTTTTGGATAATCACTGGAGGGGAGAGATTCCCCACCTGAATTTTCCATTGATAAGAGATTTCATTACAAAGGAGGTTACATAGGGCGGGCAGAACGACAGTGCCGTTGCCATTACATATGTTGGAGTTGCATAGGACAGGAGAAAATTTCTTTCCAGGCTGAAACCACAATCTGATCAGGGCGCTGGATACGCTCAGCCCACAAGTTAGCTTCATCAAGACAGCGTCGAAGAAGTCGTCGGAGGGAAGGTTGCTCATTTCTGAAGACGACATCGTGTTGGTGGTTCCACAGACACCATCAGCAGAGCAAGAAGATGGTCCGATGGTGCGCCACCGGTATTGTTTCAGGGGGGTAAATGCAACCGACATCTCGTACATCAGAGATTCCAGGATGAACAGAGAGGGCCGCCCAGAAGTCGCAGGTGAAAGGGCACAGCAGGCATAAGTGGCTGGCTGTTTCATCGTCGAGTCCACAGATATCACAAGTTGGGGATTGAACAGAACACTTATCTATTCTAAACCACTAATATAAAAAAAGTATCACTTGCGTTCTTCCCTACCTCCACCCAAAAGAGGTGTACACTGAACTACTACAGTCACCTGCCTTCAATCAAATCCAACGTTCCAACATTCACCGTTGCAATACGGACAAACTATGCAATTAATGCATTAATTACACATAAATATCTAAGGTAGATCATAAAACCTGCTAAATCCTCACCCTAAATAATGCCCATGAACGTAGTTAACATATACTGCTATTTTGTTCTGCTTGGGAAACTTGCTCGCTGAATCATTCTTTTTTTTAAAATAAATAAATAAATATTTTAGCAGGGCCATAATTCACGCTTCTGTAGAGTTCATGTATCAGGGATATCGATATTATTGGGTTTCATTTAATTTTGGATAATAATATTTATTTCATAGTGACGTGGATTCTTTATGTACTACTTAATTTCTTATTGTACTGTCCTGGATTACGCATGCACATTGATTTATTTCCTAACATGTAGATTACGGAACAACTCTGGAGGCATGGCAGAGGGGTCCCTAGTTGTTGCCATTTGCCAGTATGGTGGAGAGTTCACTTCTGGCCCCAATGGCAATTTGATCTACAAAGGAGGAGAAGCACACGCTGTTGACGTCACACGAGAGATGTCACTAGATAACTTCAAGGATGAGGTGTCCAAGGTGTTTCATGTTGAGGTTTCAGATGTGTCACTGAAATACTTTCTCCCGAACAATAACAGAACTCTTATCACAATATCATGTGATCGAGATTTGCAACGGATGGTCGATTTTACTGCTAGTTCTGCACAAGTGGATGTTTTTTTGATAAGTAGAGTGGAGAACAGGTATTTCCTTTTTTACCTTTTTGTGCAGCCTTTTGGAGTAACTTTTGCAAGCCTACAGAACCTTCGACAAAGTTATCTTAGAAGTACAGATTCAAGCCGTAATTTTGCGATACCATGGCTTAAACCTATAGTTTTCTTATAAATTGAGTGTTAAATCTATACTTTTTTTATACTATATCTTAAATTTCTAGTTTTGCAAAATTTACTATTTTTTGAGTAAATCATTCATGTTCTGTTTTGATTAGTATGTTTCTCTTGCTAGGAGTATAACTCAGACTGGAGCCTCCACTGCTAAACCTGGGTCTAATGCACGAGGTGATAAAAGGAAAACGCCAACTTCCAAAAATAAGTAGGTGCCACTGTTCCAGTTTTCTCTATCTGATGTTATTTATAGCCCCGTGCTTTTCCATGTTATATTGAATACCATCTTTCTCCAGGGCATCAAAAAACAAGAAGAAGACTCCCAGTGCTACTGGCACTGCAGTTCAAGCTAATGCCAATAATGTGAAACAGCCAAGACAAGTTGTTACCGAAAATGATGACAACAGGTACATAATTGGGTTTCATAGAATTGCCACATTTTTGCATGTCTTCTCTAATTTTAGATGTTACATCATTTTATTTTAATGACCGTATCATGCCCAAATTTATACGGTTGCTACTTTTGTTAAAATAAACTAGGGTTTTTCCACTGGAATTTGGGAGTGATATTGCCTTTGCCAATACAGCTGGAGCTGGTTCCACAGCTCCAGACATCTTGAATCAGCAAAAGCTTGCTCTTGTTGATAACACAGCGAGGTAATTGTTTGACTAATTTTATGTTCTTCATCATTCCTGCAAGTTTGTGAAGTATGAGTTCAACGGATGTTGGCATGGCTTTTGCAGGGAATCAGTTGGGCTTTTTGATGATTCAGTCAATCCATATGTTGGCTCTGAGATCACAACAGAACCTACACAGGGTCTTAACAATCCTATTGTGTTTTGGGATGATATTATCAAAGGTGTCGGTCAAGAATTTGATAATGTGAAGGATTTTCGTGCTCAGTTATGCAAGTATGCTATTGGGAAAGGATTTGTTTATCGATTCATTAAAAATGAAACCACACGTGTCACTGTAAAATGTGTTGGTGAGGGTTGCACATGGCGGTTGCATGCATCTGAATCATCTCGGAACAAGAAATTTGTTATCAAGAAAATGACAGACGAGCATACATGTGGTGGAGGAAGTGGAGAGGGTCAGCGGCGAGCAACAAGACAGTGGCTGACTACTGTCATTAAGGAGAAGCTGCATGAGAATCCATTGTTCAAGCCAAAGGACCTTGTCAAGGAAATTTATGAAGAATACGGAGTTATGCTGACCTATTCACAGGTTTGGCGAGGTAGAGAAGTGGCACAGAAGGAGCTTTATCATGCTATCCGGGAGACATATAGCCATTTGCCCTGGTATTGTGAAAGGCTTTTGGAGACCAATCCAGGTAGCATAGCTTTGTTGTCTCCGATGGTGGATACAAAATTCCGCCGCTTCTTTGTTGCATTCCACGCTTCTTTGCATGGCTTCACAAATGGGTGTAGGCCTCTCATATTTCTTGACAAGGTTCCGCTTAAAGCGACTAATGAGTACAAGTTGCTGGTTGCTGCTGGAGTTGATGCAGATGATGGTGTCTTTCCAGTGGCATTTAATGTGGTTGAAGATGAAAATTATGAGAGTTGGGTTTGGTTCTTGATGCAGCTGAGGTATGCTCTCCAGAATCACAACTATCCTTACAATGCTATGACATTTTTGTCCAGTGGACAAAAGGGATTGGATGCTGCTGTTCCACAAGTGTTCGAAGAAAGTCACCACGCCTTCTGTTTGCATCATATCATGGAAGAATTCAAAGGAGAGCTGAGGAAGGGACCGTGGTCACAACAGATAAGAGATGGGATGGTTGAGGATTTCACTCGAGCAGCCCAAGCCTGCAGCATCGAGGATTTTAACGCATCAATTGAGAGCATAAGGAATATATCCACTGAAGCTGCTGATTGGATTATTGCAAGTAAGCCGGAGCATTGGTCAGATGCCATCTTCAGAGGCTGTCGTTATGATCATTTCTCCTCGAACATTGTTGATGCTTTTAATAACTGGATACCTACCAAGAAGGAAGGATCAATAGTGCTGATGATAGACTCTCTGAGAATGAAAATAATGGAGGTGATAGAAGCAAGGCGCGAGTCTTGCAAGTCCTGGTCAGGGCCTTTAACTCCTTCCATGGAATTCAAAGTGCAGGATGAGATGTCCAAAGCTGGGAAGCTGACTGTGCTGTGCTCTTCTGAAACCGTGTTTGAAGTCCGGGGCAGTGCAATTTATGTTGTCAACCTTGCAAATTGGGAATGCACCTGTCGAAGGTGGCAACTTTCTGGCCTTCCTTGTATGCATGCTGTTGCTGTGTTCAACAGGGTTGGGCGATCTTTCTATGACTACTGTTCAAAATTTTTCAGAATAGAGAGCTACCATTTGGCTTACTCAGGAGCAATATTCCCAATTCCTGACATGGATACCGTTGATTTTAGTGCTGGGGCAAATTTGATTCCACCTCCTAAGCCACGGACATCAGATAAACCCAGAAGGAAGCGTTTTAACCCCAACAAGATACCTACTGTTGTACGGCTCTGTAGCAGGTGCAAGCAAGCAGGACACAATAAGGCAACCTGTGAAGCGATTTTGTAGACAATGGAAGTTCTGGATTATCCAGTATGCGTAGAAGGTATGCCTTCAGTCCGTACTCCAACCTTTTCGTCTCCTAAGATAACCTCTTTCCTTCATTATGAAGTTTGAAATGTGTGAGACTGAAATTCGATAGTCTGTAGAAATCCGACATCTTAAACAGTTAAAATCGATATGCCAGTTGTATCTATAAGTATAACTGTACAGAAAGAGAGCTTGTTGACTGAAAACATCTAAATGTCAATATCATGGTCTTTCATATGCCAAAAAAGGATATCCTTTATGTAAAATTCATATATGCCAACCCTCCAATTCAGGGGCAATGAAAATGCAAATGGCTTGTATTCGAGAAAAAGAAAATGCAAATGGCTTTCCTATGGTATTGCCTATTCTTCCGCTGATTTTGATTTTACATTCTAGATTGTGATCCTGGGTATCAATTTCCTAATTTGTAATGGTATGGGGAGGACTATATGTGCATTCCCATGTTTTCGCCAGTAGAAAATACCGATATTTATGGAATGTAACAGTAGATATCAATTTGCTCACAAGCTATTGTTCCCCTCTGAATATGTTTTCCTCTGTTGAATTTACTACTTTCCACTGGTAGCATGGAACCATATACATATTGGAGGAGCTGTGCTGTACTGGTGAAATAGTAATTTGGGCGTACTGAAAAGTAGTTGGTGTAGTATCTGTTGATCTTTGTCTGAAATGTTTGACTAATCACATATTCTGAACATTTTATCTCTGTTTGACGATTACAGGGTGAAAGGTCTGAAGCTTTAAGTGGAGTAGCGCTGGTGAGAAGCCGTAGATTTTGTTGGATGGATGGAAGAACGATGAGATATGATGAATGATACCACCGTTTTGTAACTTAATATTATATTATAAATGGGGGTGGAAAGATGTAGTAATTTAAATGTCAAATCTTAAGAAGAAGAGGAATGAAGGATGAGCTTTGTTAGTAGATAGATTATGGTTAGCGGTTTAGAAGTCATAATAGGTAGCATGGCTGTTGAAAATGATGATGATTCAAGTGTACCAGTCCATGATTTTAAACATTGTCTTTCTAGTCTTCTATTCAGTGTTAAGGATGGCTATCAACTAGTTACCTTCTCATGTTGTGGTTCTACTATCTGGGTACATGCAATGTTTCTTTTAAGCATGCATTATTGGGGTGTGGTCAGTATATCTTAATAGCTGCGTGAGGCTTACTTTGGAACGGAAAAATGTTGACAAATTCCTGGAAAGAAGTCGTAAAATTTGTGCGTTCCAGAAAGCCCCTAATAATCTGATGTTCTTTCATACTACCTAAACAAACAATATATTAGGGAGGGGTTTTTTGTGGCAATATTTTGTGAGTAAATTGTATCGGCAATCTAGTACTACTGAATTTGTAGAAGTGCCGTTTTTGATGTAGGACTTGCGTAATGCGTGTGAACCAAGACTAAAGTGGCTGATCTTTTTAGGATGCCACATAAGCTACTATTAAAGAGAACATATCCTATACACACAAGCTTTTCACGTACACTCCGTGCGCACAAACTATCAAATGACGAAAAATTTTAGAAAAAAAACTGGACACATACTTCCAATAATATTACATCTACGTGTAAAATCTTATCATCAAATTCATTATATTTTAGCTGGAAGGGTCTACACGTCGGGCGCCCGATCAGGATTGGGAAAAATCGGACTCTGACATCAGCATGACATCAGCACCACGCATGCATGCAAAACCACTTTAAACTGATTTTTCTCTTAAATTATTTATCCAAATCATGATCCGATTACACAATTAAATTCATTGTAATTAAATCTTAAAAATAAGACCACACATGGATATATTTCGATGAAATTTTTTTTAGCTTATTATTGAATTATTTTTAAATGTTGCACGATGTTCCACCACGTATATTGGAATTGTTTTACTACGTAGATCGAAAATGTTTCAACCATTTAAATCGGGTGTTATTTCACCTTATATAAAAACAATGTTTCAGTTCACTGCAACATTAGATTTATACATAGTGAAACATTGTGAGTACACTAGGTGAAACATTTTTGGTGGAACAAAAAATGAAACGAATTCTCTTAATAGAGGGTTTCCAAAATATGTGGGTGATTTGTTGCAAAAGAATGTTTCAGTTCACTGCAACATTAGATCTATACATAGTGAAACATTGTGAGTACACTAGGTGAAACATTTTTGGTGGAACAAAAAATAAAACGAATTCCCTTAATATATGGGTGATTAGTTGCAATGGAGTATATGGTGGAGACACATGGTGGGCCCAGGAAGGAGACACGTGCGCATCGGGGGGGGGAGGGAGGGGGGGAGAGCGTCCGATCCGTCTCCCCCCGCGCCGGTTGCCCGGTAACAAGCAATTTCGATTTTAGCTGTAACAAAAAATAATACAAAATTCTAATAAATTTTTACCTATAAAACTGTTAGATTTTTCACTTTTTTGCTACGGTTAAAATATAATGAATTTGAATATGATACTTTGCAAATATATGTAGTACTATTAGGAGCAAATGTCTAATTTTTGTGGGACATTTGCTAGTTGGTGTGCACGGAGTGCGCATAAAAAACTTGTGTGCATAAGCTATGTTCCCCTATTAAGGTATTAAGGTATGATAGTTGTAGAGAGAAAGTAGCTGTTTATAAGCCAATGAAAGATATATAGGCTGAGGTCTTTTATTTGAGTCCTAGTTTTTCCCGCGTACGTTTTTCAAACTGCTAAACGGTGTGTTTTTTTAAAATTTTTCTATATGAAAGTTGCTTTAAAAAAATCATATTGATCCATTTTTAAATAGTTAGCTAATACTTAATTAATCACGCGCTAATGAAGTGTTCCATTTTCCTTATGGGGAGGTGGAGTTCGTAGCCTCACCTCCCGAACACAGCCATAGTATGCCTTAGAAACACTTAAAGAGATTATTCAAAGTGTTACTCCCTCCAGGCTGATAATACTTATCGTTTTGGATAAGGGTGAGGTCAAACTTTAGAATCTTTGATTATGAATCATTTTTAAAATATTTGTCTTTCAAATATGGTGACCACATGTATAGATTAGTCTTAAAAAATACTTTAATAAGATCATATATTTGTTAATAATTTTTTACATATTATGATAGAAAATAATGGTCAAAGTTGTTTTTTTAAGACCGTGCCCTTGTCCAAAACGACAAGTATTATCAATCTGGGGGAGTACACACATCTTTTCGCTTATGTGTATAGTTATAAGCTAAAATTTGAGTTGATTTTGTGTTTTTCTTTATCATAGTTTATTTTATAGCATTTATTTTTGAGTCGCTAGCAAAACATATATAAAAGTTTTATTCATTGTTCGGTTGCTAATAAGTGGTAAGAATATGTATAAGATTAGCCCAAACAATAACTCCGTAAATCTTTAGTTAGCACACTGCTACGCAAGGGAAGCCGATTTTCTGACGTTGCTGTTCACCTTGACTGCATCACTCTAGGGCCCACATATTAACCGTTAAGTTGGAGGGAGATCTCAATCCTTGTCACCGTAATCACTTTAGTCCACCTTTCCCAACTCATTTTTCACGCACACATTTTCTAAACGGCTAAACAAATACATAATTAATCATACGTTAATGTTTAATGAGTAGCTTCATTTTGCAGGTGGAAGGATTAGTTCCCAACCATAGGAGGTAGCAGTTGCGTTTGTTATGGGCTTTGGGCCCATGAGATAGATAAGATCGGCCCACTAATCATAGCCGCGGGTGGGGTGTGGCGTGTTGTGTTGTTGCCTCCGCCTCCGCCGCCGGCCGCTCGAGCCTCCTCCTCTCCCGCCAGCCGCCGCCGCCGCCGCCGCTGCTTGCTTGCGATTTTTCAGATGGAGAGCCCGAATCAGAACCAGCAGCAGGAGAGCAGCAGCGGAAGCAGCGTGATGTGCCAGCTGGTCAGTCCCGAAGGAGACCACCTTGGCGCCGCCCTCTACTTGCCTCACAACGTCGGCCCGCCGCAGCTGCAGGAGATCGTCAACCATCTTCTCCACAACGTACCACTATCTCTTCCTCCTTACTCTTCTTCTTCTTGCCTGCCTGCTTGCCTGCCTGATACCTTTTTTTTTTAATTTCATATTGATATTGGCTTAGGGACCAATTTTATTTCTTCTCCTTTTTTTCTTTTCTTTTATAAAGAAAGAAAGAAAGAAACATTACAATGTATCAATCTGCCTATCTAGACAACACATAAGCTGTCTGTACTCGTTCCTAGGGCCCATTTGAATCGCAGGATTGAGAAAACGCAGGAATAGGAAAAACGTAGGATTTTAATAAGAATGAAGTGTAAAACAGATGATTGCAAAACGCAGGAAAAATACAGGAATGACCGTTTGATTGAACCGCAGGAAAAACGCAGGAATTAGATGAGAGAGATAGACTCAAACGAAAGTTATTTTTTCTTGCACAACTCTTTGGTGAGAGAGGAAATCCCTTTAATGTTTAACAAGGGAAAAAATACAAGGTTACAATTCATTATGACAAGTTTAATTATAATATAGTAAAGGGGAAATATTTGAGCTAATTGTCACGTTGCATTTATCTTCACCTATGTAATGTACTCCCATTTGGCAGTTGTCCTGCATACTTACTTGTGTGACCTCATCACTCTAAACATTTACTTTAGGAGGACAAGCTGCCATATGCATTCTACATCGGAGATGAAGAACTCTCTGTCCAGCTTGGTGCTTACATGCAGCAAAAGAATGGTGAGACTCCACTCACAAGTTCATCCTACATTTCTTTTCGTCGATTAAGAAAATTAAAACAAACTAGGTGTTGCATCTCATTTCTGATTTCTATCTTTTGATTTTTGTTAAATGAAGCAAATGTTGAGGTTACCCTGCGCATAGTATATCAACCGCAGGCAATTTTCCGTATCAGGCCAGTCAACCGATGCTCTGCTACAATTGCTGGTATGTATACCTTGGATTACGTTCATTTCATTGTTTTCTTTTTCCATTACAATTTTAGGACTCTTTTATTTGACATGTTCTCATATTGCTGGGATTACAATGGGAATATCATCGGACAGACAAACCCTTTGCATCCTTGTTTTATTTGTCATTGACAGCACCAGTACCAGCCTCAATTATGTCGATTTTGAGCTTTCTTATACCACTGCGAATGATGTAATTTATCATCTGCAGGCCATACAGAAGCTGTACTAGCAGTTTCCTTCAGTCCTGATGGAAGATGTTTGGCTAGTGGTTCTGGTGATACCACTGTTAGGTTTTGGGATCTGAGCACACAGACCCCATTGTTCACATGCAAAGGTGAATCTTAGCATTCTTGCATACAGATAATTTCAAGTCATTTTTCTCATACCTTAAATAAGTCGAATGCCCGTAATTGCATTGGTGCTTGTTTTATAGAGTTACACCATGGTTATTGTTCTTTACGGTAACCTAGTGCTTACCAACACTTGATTAACAATTTCTCATGAGAGAGATCTTAGATGATTGATGCAAAAGTGTTTAGCAACTCAGTGCTTATCTTTATCAATATGTCCTAACTCACAATAGACCTGTAAGTTACTTTCAGAATTAATCTTTTTTAATGGTAGACCTAACCTTAACATGTACTGGATAATCAAAGCTTAATGTTTGATACCATAGTATACAGTGTTTGTTCCTTTTAGATGAATTTAGTAGGTTGAGACTATTAAAAGATAACATAATTTATTACTTGTAATTAACACATTACATAAATTGTTTATTTGTCGATATTGGATGTTCAGACGACCTAATAGGAGTTTACTGTTGTAACATTGTGATAAAACTCATGTTTATCAGACATTACTTCCAGTGCATTTGAGTATAATTTTTTGGTACTCTTAGTCTCGTTGACAGTTCCATTTGCATATCGGTATATCCAATGTTTTTGAGGGTGATACCATTAATATTTGAAAGTTATCAAATAACACCGCATCTTCCAGGACACAAAAACTGGGTCCTCTGCATTGCATGGTCGCCTGATGGGAATCATCTTGTTAGTGGAAGCAAGTCAGGGGAACTTATATTATGGGACCCGAAAACAGGCAAGCAATTGGGGACTCCACTTACGGTAAGATTATGACATCTTTGTCTTTCAACCTGTAGTTTTTGTAGAAGTATGAAATAAGAATTATTCAGTTGCATATTTGCAGACCTAACTGCCCTATGTGTCAATTCATGTGAACCTGGAAAATATATGTTAGTTACTTAGTTGACTTGAAGATAACTGCTCCAGTTCTTTTTTCTTAGTACCATGGATTCACATACACTTAATGTTGGAAATAGTATATGGAGTTGTACTTTATATATTGCAGAAGTTTCTTTTTTCTTGCCATGCAGTACTCATTGATCATTGCCTTTACTCATTAGGGGCATAGGAAGTGGATTACTGCTGTATCTTGGGAGCCAGTTCATTTGCAATCTCCTTGCCGCCGTTTTGTAAGTACAAGTAAGGATGGTGATGCACGTATTTGGGATATGACCACAAGGAAGTGTGTCATTGCCCTTACAGGTCACACTAATTCAGTGACTTGTGTGAAGTGGGGTGGAGATGGTTTGATTTACACTGGGTAAGACTATTACACCTTCTGTTTCTATTATAAGGCGTATTTTGTTTCGTTAAGACAAGGGTTTGACTAACAATTTCTTTACAAGTAATATATTATTTATGCGTTACAAAAGTGTAATCATAAGTAAGTACTTTCAAATACGAATCTAATAACATCAATTTTGTGTCACACAAACTATACCCTAATGGAGTAATTATTGGTCAAAGTCTTGTCCTAAAGAAACAAAATACATATTATATTTTTGATTTTTCAAAAAAGGGAGACATACATAGGCAGTCCTTTCAGCATTTTGAAATAAAAGGATAATGACTTTTTTTTTCTTTTGTACTTGGTCACTTTTGGTTATTGCCATTGGATTTGTTAAAATAGGAACAACAACAAATTTTATAATGCCATCATGGCACCATTATTCCATGGTGCAAGAAAGCACTAGGCGTTAGTCGGGTGGCTGGGTGGCGCCTAGTGCCTAATAGGCCTAGGTCAGACCAACTAGTCAATCCAAGAAACTAGCAAGCATATTACATAAAAAATAGACTATATAACACTGAGATAGCAAGAAAACACCACGCAAGGTAGTTGAGTCACCTAATGCACCATCTAATGCGCTACCCAGCGCCTAGTGCCTAATGGGTTAGGCAGTGGCTAGGGCTGTGTTTTAGAATACTGCATTATTTAGGATTGAATCATATACCAGCGTTGTGATACAGGGAATATATTTGTAGTAAAATCGTATTGCGCCTGCATATATATGATGTATGAACTCTATTTCTGTTTCTGCTGCTATGTTTGACAGATAAGTTAATCGAGATCTCAAACCACTGTTTGTGACTAGAAATTCTGAACATGACAGATTCAGTTCAGATTCTATTCAATCTGTATTTTAGATGGAATCTATTTATATAGGAATGCTTACTGCTTCTACTTTGGCAATTGTGAGAAAGAACTATCAAGATAGCTTCCAGCAACACAGGCCACAATCCTTTATTGGTGCCATACAGACAATTCCCTACATTTATTGATATTTATTTAATTGAGTTATTGTGAGAAACCCAATACGTAAGTGACGTTCCGTTAGCCAAAGGATACACTTTTGCTGGTAGGAATAGGCCTTGATCAGGCTAAGAGTTCCAGTTACTTCCCTTTTCCTCATACTCCGTTTACTATTTTGTTTATTTATAATAGACAGCTATAACTTGAGGCAAAAGTGGTCGAGTTCTTCCTAGATGGTTAAAATTAAGTAGCTGAAAGCATATGCGTAATCACTTAGTCTGTTATCTCATTTATCATGAATGTTTATAGTGTTGCAAAATTAAGTAGCTGAAAGCATATGCATAATCACTTAGTCTGTTATCTCATTTATCGAATGTTTATAGTGTTGCTAGAAATGATGTTTAATGCTATGCTGTATGTTTATTTGTACAAAATGCTGTATTTTACAGATACAGTTCTTAAAATGCTATGTACAATTCTAAAACAAATGTATGTGTACTGCAGTTCTGAAGATTGTTCAATCAAAGTGTGGGAAACTTCTCAGGGAAAATTGGTCAAAACACTGCAGGTAATGTACCAGCATTTCAGTGGACATTCAAAGATTTATGCAAACTTTTATGCTCCCAAGTTGGCTTTGCTAGTATTGAATTATGAGCAAAATAGCAAATATCACACAACCACATGCTTTATGAATAAAGTACCAGAGAACTACAGGTTTTATGATCAATTCCAGAGAGATACAGATTTTACGGGAAGTTGTATTGGGAAATGGCAGATTCTGCAGCTTCTGAGGAATTCCTGGCCTGCATGTTCTACATATGGACATAAATGGGTCTGGAGATGCTCAAACACTAGTTAGGTCCCGCTGAACTTTCAACTTTGCGTGGGTTTGTAGTGTAACTATTGTAGGGGACTGATACTACACACGTTCTAGTCATGCATCATCCTTACCTACAGAATAAGCACATGTGAATGCATATTCTTTATGAACGACATATCTGAGGCAAACATTTTTATTTCCTTCTAATGTTGATGGCAATGATAGTTTAATCTAGGGGTGGAAACGAGCCAAGCCTGGCTCGGCTCGGCTTGCAGTGGCTCGCAAAAAAGTAGGCCTGGCTTGGTTCGGCTTGGTTAGGGAAACAAGCTAAAACTTGAGCTCGGCTCGGCTCGTTCTGGCTCGAGCTGGCTTGCAAGCCTTCCTGTTGAAATATCTCTTCATATATATTTTATAATTATTAAAAAAAGTAAAACCAAATCATCAACATGTAAACTTTAAATAAGTTTATATATTCAATACTTCAAAATCTTGATGATAAATTTTAAGTTGACAAATTATAATGCCATATAAAGTAAAATAATCGATATAAACACACGATGACCTAGGCTCGCGAGCCAAAACAAGTGGCTCACGAGCTAGCTCGGCTCGGCTCATTTCAGCAACGAGCTAAAAAGGAGGCAAGCTTGGCTCGTTTGGCTTACGAGCCGAGCCAAGCCAACCAAGCTCGAGCCAAGCCCGAGCTGAGCTCACGAACCCGAGCTTTTTTTCCACCCCTAGTTTAATCTTTTAAGATGCAAGTAGCCTATGAAAGGCCATACAAACTTGGTTTGGGCTCAAAAAACAAAATAGCAAATCAAATTTACAAGGATGCCCATCTACAGCATTCTAAGGCCAAACCCCGATACCAATTGCTTTGTGAATTAGAGAATTCATTGCCATGTAGTTGATGGTTTACTCTGACCAGGGGGTGTTAGAGGAAGAAAAAAAACAAAATTTACTTTGGAAGACGTGTGCATGCTATAGCCATGAACTGAGGGAGTAATTTTGTGTGCTTAATTCATGAATCGTACCAAATAAATTATACATTCTTTCAATTGTGAACTGTCAGCTATACCCAGGAAACAATTTTGTGGAATATCTTTGATCTGATTTTGCCTGTTTTTTGCATGTGCTGGACCTATTATTTTGGTAGCTGTGAACTATTACCTTGCTTTCAAGTCAGCTATTCTATGCTAGTTGTCACTGTCATCTTGTTAAAGTAGTTACACACTTACACTGCATATTCAGGGTCATGGTCACTGGGTCAATTCACTTGCTTTGAGCACCGAGTATGTTTTGCGCACAGGGGCATATGACCATACTGGCAAGACATATTCAACAGCAGAGGAAATGAAGGAGGTATGATGTGATCATAAATTAGTGTTAGAACTGACTCTTAATATTTTCATTTGTTGCTTGCTGAAATGAATTTTTTCACCTGAGAACTTTGGATATCCAGGCAGCTCTTGCGAGATACAAGAAGATGAGGGGCAATGCACCTGAGAGACTAGTTTCTGGTTCTGATGATTTTACGATGTTTCTCTGGGAACCAACAATTAGTAAACAGCCCAAAGCCCGCATGACTGGTCATCAAAAGGTATATTGTCCTGACAGCTCCATGAAATGTTCTTGCATTTGTATCATTGTATGTACATTTTGACTTGTTTATGCATTCAGTTTTGTCTCACTGAATACTGAGAAAAGATTGAAAATTCTATGAGTTTCCTCCCTGAAACTTGAAAATAATAATGAATCGGTGTCATTTAAAATTAATGGTATGAGTGTTTCCAAACTCCAAACCCATCTATAGAACAGATTATTGTTGAAATCATTAGGACTTGTGTAAGTTGTCAAATGGCATGAACAAGTTGGGAGCGCTAGATAAAAACCATTCGATATTATTGCAAGTCGCCCTCGCGCGGCGGCTCGGGGGCGAAACCCTAGCCGCCGCCGCCCCTCCTCCTCCCTCCTCCGTGCTTCGCCGCTGCCGGAGCTTGTCACCGGCAAAGCCGGGCGACGCGCTGGGATGGCGGCGGCGGGGCCATCCTCCTCGGCTCCATCTCGCCCCGGCGCGGGCGTGGCGACGATGGCGGCGGGACGGCGAGGTCGCGGCGACGGGGACGGCGCGGCGGTGGGGCTCTCCACGGCGCGGCGGCGGGGCTCTCCGCGGTGGTCGGCTCTGGCTCCGGCGACGGGTGACGGAGTCGCTAGATCCGGTTGCCCCTCTGGCCGGGGCGACCGGCGACGGGCTCGGTCGACGCCGACGCCGCTCGGGCGTAGGCGGATGGCCGGTGACGGGCTTCTCCGGCGTGGGCTCGTCGGCGACGACGGCATCGGGTCGGCGGCGGCTCGCATTCGTCGGCGGCGGCTCCAGTCCGGCTCTCGGTGGAGCGCGCTTCGGCGCCGGCTGCCGCTGACCTGGCCGGGGGCTGCCGATCTGCTGCGATTTTGCCGGCGACGGGGACGGCGCCTCCATCTCCCTCCCTCCTTTTTCTCCAGATCCGGTTCCCCTCTTCTTTAGTTGTTCTTCTTCCAGTGCTCACCGGCGGTGCGGCGCCCGCTCCCCTCTTCTTAGGGGCTCCTCCCTTCTTAGGCTAGGCTACTTCCAGTTGTTGCCGGGGAGCTCCTTGGTGCGGTAGGGGTGGCGTGCGGAGTTGGTTTCCGGCGTCCTGTCTCGCTGGCGTCGGCCGCGCCGTAGGTTTGCTGCAGTTGGGTTCCTGTGTGTGAGGTGGTCTCTGGTCGAGCTGCAATGTGATTGACTGTTGAGGCAGAGTCGGAGCTGCTTGTCTTGCAAGCTCGGCAACGATGACCCTCAATAGACGTCCAGGCAACGCGATGAGGGTTTGGAGGTGGAGCATTTTGAGAGAGTCTCGGGTGAAAACCTTGCCTAGTGTTTTTCTAGGTTGATGATATCGACGCCTGTGGGTGCCGTTTCCTCCTTGGAGGTATCGTCATGATGGCTCTCTCTCGCTTTAGGTGAAAACTGGGTTCCTTTTGGAACGGGCGTTGACAGCATTCTTGATGTTGTTCCCTTGTTGAAGGCTTCGCTCAGAAGGTTTCTGCTCCACTAGAGGATGTTTGGTGGTTCTGGAGACCTTGTGCATTATGTTGTCGAAGCTGCTTGCCTTTGGCAAGCTCGGCAACGATGAGTTTTGTGAGGTCTCAATAGTTGCTTTCTTTTCCTTTTCTGTATAGGTTTTCGCCGGTTTCCCATTTAATTAACCGTGCTTGTTCGGTTTTTGGGCCCGGTTTCCCTTATTAACTGGGCCAATTCTCTTCTATAAATTCCGGCGGGAGAAACTCCTGTCGTCGGTTCCTCGAAAAAAAAATATTATTGCTTTTTTTACCAATGCAGGGTAAATTTTTTTATTTAAGTGTGCTTGGAAATGATTTTGTCATTTGCTTTTCTTTGTGCAGCTCGTAAACCATGTCTACTTCTCTCCTGACGGGCAGTGGCTGGCAAGTGCCTCCTTTGACAAATCTGTCAAGTTATGGAATGGTATTACAGGCAAATTTGTTGCAGCTTTCAGAGGGCATGTTGCAGATGTCTACCAGATCAGGTCGGTTTTTCTATCTTGCTGTTTCCATTGTATGTACATGCCGCAATGCCTAATATCATCATTTCTGTCCATAGCTGGTCTGCTGACAGTAGGCTTCTATTGAGTGGAAGCAAGGATTCCACCCTAAAGGTATCTATCTCTGTCTCCGCTTAGTTCTCTGTCTTTTACCTAACTGGTCACCGACATGCCATTCAGTCTGTATGTTGTCAATCTGGCACTGGAATTCATTATATCAGAATACTTGTCTTTGAGGAGTTAATTCTGTTTGCTTGAGTAGTCATCCGAAAACTGGTGAATCTGACATAAATATTGGTTGGAACTGCCAAGTGTGACTGGTATCATACAATTGTTTTTAGGCATGCCCTTTTAATTATGTTTCTATTAACTTGGCTTGTAAAGTCCATTACTTGCATAGCATGGACCATGGAACTGATACGTTATGCTCGGTCTCTATTTGTTGGTACGATTCAGGTCTGGGATATTCGAACACGCAAGTTGAAACAGGATTTGCCAGGGCACGCAGATGAGGTACATGCATGCATATTTTGGAACAATAAAAATCTGAATTGAAATTATTATAGTGTAGTAACAAAGATTATGTATATATATATAAATGTAAGGTGTACGCTGTGGATTGGAGCCCTGACGGCGAGAAGGTTGCATCTGGAGGCAAGGACAGGGTCCTCAAGCTATGGATGAACTAGTTCCCTTAGAGTTAAGGTACTTAGCTAGTAGCTTCTTGTCATGGTGGCTCTCTCTTGTTCTTGGTGAGAGATTTTGTAGGGTTGGGTTGGCATTTCTTGTTTTTATTTTGCAACCAAAGGCTTGAGGGTTTATAGCTGGTTTTTTTTAGATAATGGAATATAATATTCCGGTTTTTGTTCAAAAAGAACTACAGCCAATTATTACAAAGATCCACTCCAGAAGAGAGTGTAGTTTAAGACAAGTTGAACACACCAAATAAGAGAAGAGATAACCCAAACTGAGAAAAGCAAAACAAAATGTGGAGGCTAGAAGGCCTTGTCAAGGCTTAGGACTGAAGTTTGAAGCCAATGCATAGATCATATTCTCATTCCCCGGTTGGATCAATATATATATATATATATATATATATATATATATATATTTGTTGCTAACTTCAATTGGGTGTATACGTATATTATTTCTTCCTCCTACTGTAAGGGATGTAAAAGACATGACAAAAATGGTTACTCCACTGGTTAGCTAGCTACCATGGGCATTATTATATTAATTAATCGGATGTGTTAACAGAAAGAAAATAACATGATATGGTTGAGCTCGTTTGAGTGGCCTTGGATTAGGCTGATCTCGTTTTGGCAACTAGCTACGGCAACCATAAGCATGTTTTGTACGGAAGTTTTTCTATATAGTAGTATCTTAAAAAATTAAATAAATTCACTTTTAATTTATAATAATTAATACTCGATTAATCATTGTGTCATCGAAGATCCAAATGAACTAAGCCTTACACGTCCAATTGGCTTGCGGTCATGAGTTGGGAAGAGAGTTTTTTAGCATGTGGATCGAGATGACCTTACCTATGTCACTTTTCCAAAAGATTAAAGATGATGAAAAACAGAAGCTTTTCTCCCGATTTGTAAACAAAAATAAAGACAAAATCATCAGAGTATACAAACGCGTACAGAGTATGAAAATTGAACTAAATTGAAAAAAAAAAGAAACAATGGCTAAAGCATCAGAGTATCCAAATTGAACTAAATGGAAAAAAGAAAGACTTGTAATAAAAAAAATAAAAAACAAGCTCACAAAGAGTATGAAAATTGATTATAAATGGGAAAATAAATAATATTAAGTAAAAAACGGAATGAGCGCGCCAGGTAGGGGTCGAACCTACGACCTTCTGCTTAGGAAACAGACGCTCTATCCACTGAGCTACAGGCGCTTGTGATTTCATGATGATACAAATAATATTTAGCCTAAAACAAATAAATTCAAAGAACTTGCAGACACAAAGAAAATACATACATTATCTCTATGCGCAACAGAACAACAATTTAATTACTTCCCCCATCTGTACAAATATTTCCGGCTCTCCATACGATCTGCCACTTTCACCTAAAAATTTCTGAGAGTTGATTTTAGATTCTTCACAAGTTCTACAGTGGTACAAGATGCATTATCAATCTGCATGCAAATTAATGAATAAAAACATATTATTAATCTTCAAAAATACCAATATTAAACTCGAGACAATCATCATCCTATTTCATTATGTACTTTTGTAAAAAAAAAGAGTTCCTACACAAGTTATAGTCTCCTCTAATTGGTAAAAAAATATTTGACGTTTAGGACAAAATTCGGATAAACTTTTGAAACTTTTATCATCAATTTACATTAGAATAAGTTTGTAAAACATAATAAGTTTTTATAGTAATTTTCAACGCAAATCTTTGCATACCATTTCTTAACTAAGTATTTGAGAAGTTCTTGACAATTACAGACAATTACAGTTCTTATAAAATTTGATCAAATCATGTTAATATCTATATCTATACTATCTTAAAAGAATCCATAGGTGGTGGTGCCATTGACTGTGGAATCTACATACTTCATCTCCTTTATTTGCTCTCACCAACTCCAAGTCACAGGCTCTCTTAATTCTTAGACTTCTAAGAACGTTTGCAAATCACGGGGATTTTGGACGGATGGGATATTTGCTAGTACTATAAACCTGGACAGACTCCCCGTCTAGATTCATTGTACTAGGAAATATCCAATACGTCCAAAATCCTTTATATTTTAGGACGGAGGGAGTAAAATATAATGGGAGTAAGTTATGGAGTACCTGTGCTGTAATGGTGATGTTTAGTGATGAATCTGCAAATGGCACAACATTAGTGTTCATGGTGGACAGGCCGAGCTTCTCGAGCTCGGTCAGCAGCTTGATCAACACCCCCTTCTTCTCAGGGCACACAACCCTCAGCAGAACAGTCGTCCCCTGTAAATTTGCCTCAACTTTTATCTCCACCTCATTGTTGTTACCATCATCGTCCTCATCATCACCGGAGCCGGCACGGCTGCGAGCATCGGAAATTGGGGGTTGCGTGCTCCCCATGCTTTGGATGTCCTGCAGGATCTTCACCCTCTCCCTAAGATGGTGCACATACTCAATGGTGCTGCCGAGAACGGAGACCTTGTCCGTCTGAGAAAACCAGGAAATCCTGACGGCATTAGTCATGACTGTCGTTACGAATATGTGGCGGCATTGTTATTATCTATCGACCGTTGTGTCAACTGCTCCCTCCCCTAAATATTTGACGCCGTTGACTTTTTTAAACATGTTTGACCATTCGTCTTATTCAAAAACTTTTGCGAAATATATAAAACTATATGTATACATAAAAGTATATTTAACAATGAATCAAATGGTAGGAAATAAATTAATAATTGCTTAAATTTTTTGAATAAGACAAACGGTCAAACATGTTTAAAAAAGTCAACGGCGTCAAACATTTAAGGATGGAGAGGGAGTATATATTTACCTTAGTGATTTCGGGGACGATAGATGCTAGAGTTGTAAACTGCTGGTGCATCTTCTCTCGCCTCTTTCTCTCGGCGATAACATGTTCTTGCATGCTCGAGGTCGCCCTCCTTCCGCCTCTCTTCATCTCTGACAGCGGCGAGCAGAATTTTGTCATGGGACCACTATCCTGCTGCTGCTCCAGCGCCGAGAAGTTGAGTGAGCTGGACGAGCCATTGGTGAGGGAGAAGAAGCTGTCACGAATTGCAGCAGCTGCTGGTGTGTGGCCCTCGGGCTTGTTAATATCCCCGACAAAGGGGAGGACCCTCAGTGATGGGTTATGGTATCCATGCTGTTCTTCCTGTTGTTCTTGGGGCTGGTTAAAAAGCTCGTTGGCAAGGGATTCAGCGAGTTGCTGCATGCTGAGAGGGTCCAGATGCTCAAGCGCTCTAGGATCATCATCATTCTCCTGCATAAAAACAATGCACATATAGCGCCCAATCAGTAAAGTACCTCGTCTGCAAAATTAACCTAGATGCCAATAAACTAGCACAACATATAATAGATTCCCTTGTGATAATTAACACAAAAGATTGATAAATAACTTAGGGTTCTTACCAGTTCTGCAAGCCATTGCTTGGCCGAAGAATCCATATTCAGTTGGAGTTTGTGCAATCCTGGACCAGAACCACCATAAGACCACTGATATATAGTTTGTGATACAGTTAATTACTTGATGCCAAATTGCAAACCTTGATGGCTACTTTGATGCCCTTGATCAAATTAATTCAGAGTAGTCTTGACAAGCCACACACACAGCGAAGAAGAAGAAGAAGAAGAAGAAGAAGAAGAAGAAGAAGAAGAGGATAAGGAAAGAACCAAGGGAGGACGAGGAGGAGAAGCAGAAACACATCAGCAGCAAAGAAGAAGAGCACTAGGCACTAGCTAATGTAAGAGAACAAAATGGAAGCTGGATCAAAAGGCTGTACTACTATATACCTTCTATACTGTTGCTCTGGTACCAAGAGTGTGCTACTGTACTAATTATTAACTGGCTGTTAGCTTCACCCACGAGCATCCTGCATATGACCAAACTAGTTTATTAGCATCTTAGCTTGTATTGAGTTCAACAACTAGAACATCCATAAAAATGATTTTTTTTTAAAACGGTCCATAAAAAAGATGATTTAGCAACTGTGGATTCCAACTTTTGAGCCTCCATGGCATCTGCATTTGCTAGCGACTATCTATCAAAAAAAAAATGCTTTCTAACCTTGCTTCATCATATATAACTGTTAACGTTGACAAAGTACTGAAAGTACTACATGTGTTTTAGCTGAGATGGTTTTTCTAAACTAGAAAGCAATTGCACACATTATTTTTTAAGGGCCCAACACTCGATCTGTGGTTGTCAAGTTTTCCTTGACAACAAATGTAATGAAGTTAATTAGTTATGTTTATTGTTTCACAAAAAAATGTATTAATGATACTATATCTCTGCAGGTCCAGGTGCTCCTGAAGTCCTGTTCTTTTGTTATTCACCTAAAAAAATTATGACAACTGATTTTAGATTCTTCACAAGTTGTATACGGTGGTGGAAGATCCATTTTCAATGTGCATTTCCAATTTTCCATCAAGAATGCTTTAATTAATATTATTATATTTTCGTAGTGCGACCGTTATGAACATGTTTCTATGAAAATTGTAGCTAAGACTTTCACAATTAATACCATGCATGTTGGAGTATCATTATCTATAAAAAAAACATGCATGTTGAAGAATAAAACTGCTCTAATTTAGGGATGCTCATTATCTATCAAGAAAATGCATGTTGAAGATAGAAAACAAAATGCAAGTTGAAGTCTGAAACTGCCCTTATTTAGGGATGCAAGTAGGTTTTGAAGAACTAAATAAACGAAAACACCTGATTAGTGGAGTAGGCCATTTCTTGGTTTGCTGCAAGCCTGCAACACTATATATTGGTTAGATTTTTTGTCTGGTTGCAAGTTGACTCCTCTCGTTGTCTTTGAGAGATCAACCCCTATCTCATGTACTCCCTCCATTTTTCAATAGATGACGCCATTGACTTTTTCTCACATGTTTGACCATTTGTCTTATTCAAAAAATTTACGTAATTATAATTTATTTTGTTATGAGTTGTTTTATCACTCATAGTACTTTAAGTGTGATTTATATCTTATACATTTGCACAAAATTTTTGAATAAGACGAATGGTCAAACATGTGAGAAAAAGTCAACGGCGTCATCTATTAAAAACGGAGGGAGTAATAGCAATTACATTAATTATTACAAATATGTACTAGCTAGCTTGTGCATGTGCAGTCAAAGCCTCAAAGATAATTAAGGTGATTTTTAATCCCTCAACAAGGCCCAATTGCTGTACTTTCCGCACTTTAATTAAAGCACCAAAGATGAAGTGTTTGTGTGAATAAAAAATGGGGTGGGTTGTGTGTGTCTATATATATATATGAATATTAATAGCCTGACATTAATTAGCTGCGGGCGTACAACCAGTACGCTGCACACGTGCTAACTCTTAATGATCTCTGGACCGTATCACAGCTTAAATTCCAGTATATCACAGCTTGATTTATGAATGCTCAATTGTTCATATACAAGAGCAATTAGAGTCGTCTGTTCTTGTATCATCTACTAAAAACATTCGGTTTTGATAACATCCGTTTTAGTCTTCATCCTATTGGGGTGGGGAAGCACATTTTGTGTGATGGTAGAGTTCACATGAAGAATTCATGCTTATGTGCATACTAATGCACTAGGTTGACTACGTATAATTCGTAAGCCGCTGAAGAAACAACGGTTATATATGCAGTTCCTCGCCAACCATAGATGAAAGTTTGTTATTTCCATCTTTAGGGTGGTGTTCTAATAAGTATTTTTCTTTATTTTAATCAAATTGTGATTTTGTAATTCGTAGTCTTTTGACCTGGTACCTCATATAAGTATGTAATCAAGGAAAATAAAACGTTTGCAGCAAATCAAAGGAGAAGATGGCACGGAGAGAATCATATGCATGCAGTAAGGGAGGGGTGTAACATGTGTGTGTGACGGCCAATCCAACCTGAGATTTTCTTTCTGAAGAAATAAGGTACTCTCATCTGGCATGTTACGTTGCAGCTTCTCCTAGCTTGTAGAAAGCGAATTATTCCCCTACATCATGCGTGTTCGCTGGCTTGTGATTACGCTAATAAATGCATTATTAATTAGTTCCCTCCACATATTGATATTGCCAAACAACAGTAGCAGGATGCCTAGCTACATACTTGCACCCACAGTTTGGAGTCAAAACCACCTGGGCTAAGTCAATTGGAGCATATGTTACGTATATGCAATGAACTGGATAGAAATATTTCTATGTTGATACATCCTACATGATGTTGAAAACCTAAATTAACCTGATCTCCTCGAAAAAAAAAAAAACCCTATCGTTTATATATACATTGCTAGCTATAGGTTTATCTATGAATTCAATCTACAGTTATGTAATCAAGCTAGTAGTTCTAGTTGATCAGGGCTTAACCTTTCTTCCAGAACCATAAGGCAAAAAGGCACAAGAAGGAGCTTTCTACAGCAGAGTATCTCCTTTCTTTCATGTAGCACACTAATCAAGACCTTAGGTGCAAATTGCAATGGGATGGTGCAAACTCTAAGTAAGCTTATTAATTAGCTACTACATGCCAATGAATATTGCATTTGTGTGTTTTCCTACAAAACTATCTAATGGCTCCTTGCAACTAACACTAATCTCATACTCCTTTAGTTCCCCCAAAACATATATTACGTGGTAAAACCAAACTATTATTTCTTTTTTGTCAGTTGACTAGCATTAATAACCAACATGGCCAACTTGATGAAACTGCGCCTATGGGTCATGAAAACTGCTGTACGTACCATTTGTTTTTTATGTGCTATATATATAAAGATATATACACAAGGAATAGTTCATATATACTCCCTGCTTCTTGTTAATGTTTGGCCTTGTCATACATTAACTGTGTCATTTAGAAATAGGGAAAATACATCTAGACTCTGAAAACAAAAGGGAACTGCGATATTATTCTGTGGCATTTCATCTGGTTGAGTTATTCTTTGTTTGCAAAGCTTGTGAACCACTCTTACTTGTTCATCTTTCAGTTGTTTAAAAAATCTATATACCAGACGGAATCAAACAGAAAGAATGTAATGTATTCTCCTAGTCTAAATGAATTTGGATTAAAAAGCAACAAAAATTAAAACCAGAAAAGTAATGTGCTTTCGTTGAGAGTCGAACTCAAGACCTCCCGCTTACTAAACGGGTGCTCTAACCAACTGAGCTACGAAAGCTTTTGCAGCAAATTATTATTTATAAATATTTATTCTTTTACAATCAGAATTTATGTTTTTAGATAATGTCAGTAGTTTATGTAAATTTGATACATTAATTTACGAACAGGCCTCGCCTCCTTGTAAATAAAACAAGAGACAGACCTAATGTCACACTGGACCAAAATTATGATTTACGTCAGAACGTTCTTTAGAATACGAATTCAGAACGAAATCTACTTTATTTCCTACCTTTCAAATTGCTCTGCATTTCCTGTAATTCTCTACAGAAATTATGCCTCTGAAACGAGTATTCCACGTACTAAATATCTTACACTAGAACAGCAAAAGTTAAAGACTGGACCAGGAGAATAGTGGGCTAGAACTTAAAAGACAATTATTATGGGCCGTAATCCATCACAATCTAGCTTAGCCTGATATGCCTGTTGATTGCCTTTGTCTCTTCTTTCTCATAACATGCGTAAGTTAGGGCCCATTTGGGAGGACCAATTTTGTCTAAATTCTTGCCCAATATGGACTCCCAAACGAAATGTTAAGAGATTGGGAAAAAAATGTTAAAGTGATGGATTCCCAAACATGGAGAAAACTGAGATATACGACCCTGCAATCAGATCGACCTAGAGAGCCAGCAGCCCTGCAGAGAAGTGTTTTGGCGAAATCGACGTTATCAGCAACACCAATCTATCACCTATCTGCCTTAGCAGAATATAAATGGCTCTACAAAAGATCATTGTTAATGCAGGAAGCAGCTTGGAAAATTGGCAGGTAAGTAGGAGTAGTATGCAAGCCAAAAAATCTGCTTAGAAGACATTGGCCCTGTGAGTGGATCTGTTGTCGTTAGCACTTTCGAAGATGCTAACAATCTGGAAACAAAGGAATGCCGCTTCACCAATGAGAGGTGTGGCCGCTTATCTGTAACTGGCAAGGAATGACAGATTTTTCCAAAACAACATCTGGCTGGCAATCGACATCAGAGAGTGGTAGGAGCTGATCATTATCAAATCAATGCCAAAGAGTATACTAGGAAGGAAAAACTGGGAGCTCTTCTAATAACTTGGTGGAACATTTGGCTTGAACGCAACAGGAGGATCTTTAAGAAAATTTTGTAAAATGAAACTCAGGGTGTGTTTAGTTCACGCCAAAATTAGAAGTTTGATTGAAATTGGAACGATGTGACAGAAAAGTTAGAAGTTTGTGTGTGTAGGAAAGTTTTGATGTGATGGAAAAGTTGGAAGTTTGAAAAAAAAATTGGAACTAAACTCAGCCTCAGGTGTCCTTTCTCATGAATGAAA